CTTTTAAATCAGGTAAATACGAAAATCGATGATTGATATTAAAATCGCGTGAATAAAAATCGAGATCTGAATTACGAAAATACGAGCTATCCAGCCGACGGATAAAAAATACGGAAAATCTTATTTTCTGTGCGTGAAATCGGAGAAAATAGCTAAAATAAGTAAAAATGCGGAAGGGTTAGCAGCTAGGGCGTAGATTGAATTTTCTGTTTATCTTTGAAAATCGTAAATAAATATAATTATTTTACTTCAATGACTGAATTTAAAAAAAAAAAAGCGGGATATTTATTAAAAAAAGACGAAACTTTTAGAGAATCTGAGTTTTTGATAAAAAGGCTGAAATTCAAGAGACAAAATAAATCCCATCCCTGTATAAAGGTCAACCAGTTTTATCCCAAGGAAATGATTTTTAGAGAAACTTCAGAGGGAGGAAAAGGGACTTCAATAATTTCCCTCCGCGGGAAAATTAAATTCCTCATAAAATATTTTAACTTGAGCAAAAAAAATTTCAGCAGAAATTAGCGGGGAAAATCTGAAAAAAAGCGGAAATCCGCGAATCCGCGGAAGAATCTCATCCCTGAACGTTGGCAAGATTGAGACAGAAGTCTTGCTTTTTAGGTTTAAGTTTAACAGAGGGAAAAAAATAATTTGTAAAGCGACTGTCGTGCAAGTAATTTGAGTACCTAAACAACTTTGAATCATGAGCATGTAGTAAATAGCTGGTCAATTATTCATATTTTTTCAATTTGTGATACATATAATTATTTGATTTTAATACCTTGAATTTTTTTTCTTCCTTTTTGCAATGTGCTTATATGATTTATAAGAAAATTGAAGTTACCTTGCTCATACCTAACTAAGGGTCATCTTATGTTAAATTGACTGGTATGCCATAATGATTCTAGCAACTAAAAGGCTGCTAATATTTCTAATCATGATTTAACGAGCTATGATGATGAGAAAAAGATGGAAATAGAATAAAACATCCAAATTTTAAAATTACAAGCATAAAGACAGATGGTTGTGAAACTTCTTGGGGGGGGTGGAAACTTAGAATCAACTCTGGCAATTTTTTTTTTATCATTTGTGGCAATGGTGGCTTGAAAGTATTCTATCTTTGAACTAGAGATAAGACGAAGTCATTCACTTCTCATGAAAAAGGAGATAAATCCATTATTAGTCAGGTCTACGTTTTTCCAACTCCTTTACCAAGGAAACAATAAGGTAAATTTCTTTTTGAAAATTTTTCCAATCAGAATCCAAAAATTTAAGAAGTGTTAATATATACTCATAAAAATAATAAATTTTTGTAAACTGAAGCATATTTTAGCACATTTTACTCCTGCAATAGCAACATTTCTAAGAAGGCACCTTTAGAGAGTATTCAAAAGAAAACATCTGGAGAGCAAAGCAATTCCATTTGTCAGGGAAAATTTTTCTATTAGGGCTTTTTAATTTTTAATGAAAAAGAATGCACTGTAACGAAATTTACAAAACAAAGAAAAACATCTAATAGTTTCAAAACTATGCACAGATTCTTATTAACTTTGAAAGATAAATTTTAATTTTTACATAACTAGTGAAAGATATTAGATTTGATTCCTCATAATAAAATTTTCATAATAAAATTTTGTATTGGAGAAAAACCATTGAGCACATCTTAAAAGTAATGTAGTTAACATTGATACAATGTTGTTAAAACTTGTCACTAAATTCCCTAACATATAGCAACAGATACTTAACCCTTAGCAACAGATACTTAAAATACTTACAGCACCAGAGGATTGTTTTCCCCAAATAAAAAAATTCAAAACAAAGCCTGTTCCAAACACAATTCCTGGATATAACAAAGCAGTCTAAAAAGGAAAATAAATTTTTCAACACATTATAATCATAACGATATAAATATCTATACTAATTTAGAATTCGTAAGTACATTTTATATAAAATAGCAATATTAGTATAAAATTAGCAAAAAAAGAAAAAGAAAATTACCAATTATAGAGGGTCAAAATGATTATTTTTTATTACATTTCATAAAAAAGGTGAAATATTTTAAAATTGGTTTAAAATAAAATAAGACTGCACGAAGGTCTGATTTGAAAATCAGACAACTTTAATTTTGAGATACAGGCCCTAAACGTTTATTGAATGTATTAATTTTCCTATATTGTCCAATTTTTGGTGTCTAAGTTCGGTAGCAAAAACTGGAGCAACAAAACAAGTATATAAGTTTCAAAATGCCGGCCAGGTGGCTGAGTGGTTAGTGCTCCTGACTGCGGAGCCGATGGTTGAAGGTTCGAATCCTGCTCAGGGCATGGATGCTTCTTTCTCTCTCTCTCTTTCTGCGTTCTATGTCGTTTCTCCTTTGTGTGTGTGATTGTGTGAATATGACCCGCTCTATAAACGGGTTTGTGGTTGTGTGACGTGGGCGACGCTGATCCACCGTTGTGGCTTCGCCACAGGTGCCCACTGGGTAACGAAAAGAGAGTAGCAGTTCTGGCATTCCTGAGGCCAATGGGTCAATGTCCCAAGTGCCTGCCATTTAAAAAAAAAAGTTTCAAAATAAGACAGTGATGATCTGCATGAAAGTGGAAGTTAACTCCACTTTCGTTCTTTTTTTTTTAAATAAACGGAGGTGAACCACCATTTAAATAAAGTTTTCAAGTAATACTGAAGGCAAAGAAATGTAACAAATTCAAGTTATTAAAATAAATGCAAGAAAAGTGATTTTTAAACATTATTTTGAATGCTAGTTCTCCTTTTATTGTATCTCTTGTAACATAAAATTTTCAATAATACAACATATATTTCGAATAAAACAAATTTTTTGCTTAAGATATTGTTACCGTTAGATGAAATTGTTATGCAACATTGATTAAAAAATTTTTTAAAAAAATAAAGTAATATATTTAAAAACATTACTGTTACAAAAATCAATATATTTAAGTTAAACACAAAATCATTATCTGTGACTATTATAAATTTTAATTATCCTAGGGAAATCAATTTTCAGAGCAAACAAGAAAATATATTCTTCCAGGCCTGAGAGGATTTAAGCTATGGTAAAACAGCAAAATATTGTGTTAATCTTTCTGAGTGCTCATTCAAAGAAATAAATTATTCATTAAATAATTTTTTTTTAAAGTTTTTTCTCTCCAGATTTGAAATAATACCAATTTCAAGATATAGTTTTTTATCATAATTATTAAGCAAAAAAATTTGAATATCACAAAAAAATTCAGTTTTCATTCAAAAGCTATTTAGATCTATTTCATTGAATTCTCACATCATTTTCAGATTACTTATAGAAAGAAAAATAAATCTGTTAACCATATCTGTAATTAATATTTTTTTAATGAATGCTTAAAAATTGTATTTTTTTTACAGTGATTGGGGCGAAATGACTGATGAGGAAAAATATGTTTAGTAAAGATGAATTAAAATTATTGCAGTATTAAAATGACAAAATTAAAAACAGTTGACTGAGATCTAATTCAGGTTTGCAACCTGTGGCTATTTTTCAGAACTTGTTATTCAAAGGTTCAACTTAACATTAACCCTATGGAAGACTTCTATTTTATAAACATAAGATTATTCTTCAGAGGTTGAATAAGATTATTGTTTAGAGGTTTGACTGCACAAGTGTTGTTTAACAAATTATGGTAAACATAAAAAGAAAAGAAAAACATTGAAAACTTACATAAAGAGCAGCTTTCTTCCACTGAATACCTCTTAGAGTTTTATACAAGCGAGCAGAAAAATATCCAGAAACACAGCTGAAATTACAAAACATTTGCAATATATTAGTGTGAAAAAAAAAATCATGCTTTAAGCTTCACTGATAACAGAATAAATTGTTTACCCCATGAAAACATAAAGGAAAATTGCTACTGTCATTAAAGCTCCTCGAGATGCAGGTGAAAGCATTCCAAGCATTGCAAAAACTATATAAATTAAAGAAAGATAAATATCATTTTTTTATTAACAATCACATATTAATGAATATTTAAATACATTAACTATTCAATATTGCATAAACTAAAACATTAGGCAATTTTATAATGTTTAACATTTTTAAAACATGATGAAAAGAAAACAACTAACATCATAACTTACATCTTTATAGCAATTTGTAAATTTTACAACATTTAAGCAAATTGTATGATTTGAGCCACAATTTCACAGTGGTTGAGGACTGTGCTGTCATTACACAGATCCAAAGTTCAGTATCCAGTGGCAGTTTCAAGTTTTTCCAGCTTGAGAGTGACTAGTCTCAACTTATCAGAGAAGTAAAGTCAGCAAATGCACAATACTGGTCATCATGCTGTTGGCTTTCAAATTGTGGAACCTTAACCTCCATGGCCATCCTGGCCAACAATTGGCGGTCGTTAGAACGCTTTATTTCTTCATAGCAACAAAAGATTTGTAATAAAAGAAATTAAATATATAAAAGAGCAACTTGTTATTTAGAAGCTTTGAGAAATTCACTACCTACTTTCCTTATCTTATTAAATTTGATGTTTAATAGATCACTTTATTAAAAACTAATGAAAAAGTTAGTTACATTTTTATAAGCAAAACTTATTTAAAAAGTGAAACATAAACAAAACTTTAATATGATTGAAGTTACAAAAGAATTTGTTAATCATATTATTCATTTAAATTTTGGAAATTACAAAGATATTAGGTGGTTTTTGAGTACATAAGGCAATTAGAGCTACCACAGATTCCTGACTAAAACTCCCTCAAAATATTCATAATTAATTATATAAATGTATAAGGAGTTTTTAAGCGATATAAAGCAATCCCAGCTAAAATATATCTCAGAATAAATTCATACAAGAATATCGAAAAATATACACAAACAAACCCTTAAAATAAATTAAAAGTAAATTAAATGAAAGAAGACCATGAGTTGAAGTAAATCTCCAACTTTATTTGCCTATTGAAATCAATTCTTTTTTCTTTTGCAGAAAAAAAACACTAGTAGAAAATTTAGCAAAACATTTTTTAATGTTGAATAATGTTTTGTACCCAATTCAAACATTATTATATCAATTAAAGAAAAGAGAGAAATTTGGAAAAAAAAAATGCTTACACATTGTAATAAAAGTCATTAAGAAAATTTGTATTCCACTGCCAATGACTGCAGCAAAAAGTTTTGGGTAGCGAGGAGGTCTGAATACATCACCATGAACTAATTTCCATCCAGTTTCCTCCATTGTATCTTCCTATTATAAAAAACAAAGCTATATAATAATATCTTCATCAAGTTTTGAATGCATAACAATGTAGATAATTAAATTATAAAAGTAATAATTGCTAAAAAAAATAATAAACTTATTGTATTAAAAATCGTGAAAGCAAGTAATTAATATATTTTACATGTAACACATCAAAGAAATTCTAGTTGCATACAATTACTTTTGATTCAAAAATCCGAACATTTTTCTCAGATATAAGAAATTTCAATTTAAGATTTTGCACCACTGTATAAAAACTATAAGAAAGTGGTTGTCAGTAAACAGAAGTTGAGTTAAATTATTTTGTCATTAAGGGTTTCACATTAAATTTTAATTAAAAATATAATTAAGAGCAAATTTATTACCAAAATATTAATAATTAACCAGATAGGACACTTTTAGCGATATTATTTTATTATCTAGCTAGGAAAGTCTAGGTATTTCAATAAAACTTGGCAAATGTTGCCTTTTATGTAACATAAAACAAGAGAAATATTTAGAGATTTTGCCATGAAAGCAGAATTTTCAATAAAGGAAAATAAGTTTAGAAAAAAAAAATCAATAAGCAAATTTCAATTTCTACATAATATAATATTAAACCAAACAATGAATTTTAAAATGCTATTAATAATAAATGAAAAACGAAAACATTTTCAATTTTTAAAGTAAAGTAAATTATCCCAATAATTTATTTATAGATTGAAAAAAAAAACTGTATCTCACCATATCTTCATTTCTATTATATTTGGCAATATCTCGACGAAGAGTTCTCACTATAATCATAGTGAGTATGCCTGAAAAATCAAATTATTGTTTATTTCAATATTTTATAATTTTTTGAAGTACTTTTTACATTATAGACTCATTTAAATTTTCAATCTTAAATTCATTAATATACATATATAACATTACATAAAACAGAACTTATACTAATAGTACATAGTTTTGATTATTCAAAAACTAACAAACTTGTTTTAATCTCTGAGCAACACTGCACAGAATCTAAAATAAAAAGAAATCCACACCAGATTTTAACTCACTTGACACATTATAAAATTATATGCTTAATAAGTTTTAAGTGCCAAAATTTTCAACATTATTTTTTAAATAACTCTTATATTTACATGGATCTGATTAATAATATATTTATAGATTTATAATATTCAGATTTAAAAAAATTTATAATATTTAAATAACAAATTTTATTACTAGTCAGGATTGCAGGATTGAATATATAAACTTAGTCTATTAATAGTAACATAGTATGACTTTTAAAAGTAAATAACTTCCAATTTTTTATGCTTCTTTTCTTCTTCATGTGATACTTTTTTTCCCTTCATTAGATGAAACCTATTATTTTTAGAATATATTCTGAGATTAAAATGAAACACTTTTTGGAAACAAAGAAAACATGGAACACTAAAATAGTGTTTTTATGTTTCCTTTCCTTTGGAGTTACCATTGATTGTATGAAAATTAAGAGTCTTTTAAGATATTGCATTTAAAAAGTATGATTTTTAAATAAAATATTTAAAAAAATTTAAATTATGCTTTCTAAGTTTTTAGAAATTTAGAACAAAACTATTTAAGACTGCTTATATTGATATTACATTTATTTTCCTAAAGTTATTCTCAATGGGATAGTTAAAACCTTAATTCATTAAAAAAAAAAGTCATTTTCTATCAGCTTCAAACTTTCACTAACAACAAAGATAAAAAAAAAAAAAGAAAAACTACACACAAACCTGATAAGAAAAATACAACCACCACAGAATTAATTGTAGAAAACCAATGAATTTGAACATCAGACATAGCAAGATATATATCCCATCTTGATGCCCATCGTACATTACTTTCCTCCCAGCTTATTTCATAAGTGAAATATAATTTTGTCGATCCTATTGGTAAAGATAAATAAAAGATATCAGTAAAATTTTAAATTATTAATTAAATTAATTTCCTTAACTTATGTATTAATTATAAGAGCTTTTATTAAATATAAAACTAATTATTAAAAAATAAATTCTTATAATCAGTTTAGGTAACCGGACATAATTCAACTGTTTTGCTGTATTAGTTAATAATAAAAAATGAAAATTGCCAAATTTTAATTAAAATAGGCAGTTTATCATCAATTACGTTTAAATGAAATATTATTGCAATATTTATAAAATGAATACTATCAATTTTTAAATTAAGATTATTCGATCAACTTGTATTTCAGTTAAATCTTGATGGATATTCTAAGGAAATTAAAAAATTATGGGAAGTTTTATAAAAATCAGCATAAAAAAAATCATTAGAACCAGAAAATACGTACATTGAACTATTAAAATGCAGTTTTTTTAATATGCTTTTCACTGATCTGATAAAATAAGTCTAAGTCTTGTCAGGATTTTCAAATACACTACCCTAGAATATTTGAAGAGATACTTTCAGTTTTAGAAATTTTTAACAAATTTTCATACTTCGCAATAAAGTTTAAAACTTTCAAAGTTGTGGCGGACCAGCAATAAATTACAAACAAAAAAGTGCTAGTGAATGTCAGAAAACATAGCAATAAACTTGTAACTTGCATCTATTGTTTTGATATGCTAAAACTGCACAACATTTCGTACATTTTGTAAGTCTAGCCTAAATGGAGATATAGACATTTTTATAAGAAACTAATGCTTCTCCTTTTTTTTGCTATAACTATAAAAATAGTTACAAAAATTAAATAAAATTTAGGAAGCAATTTTTAATTAGTAACTAAATTGTTTTAACTAAATTTAAAAGATTGAATTTTTTTTTACAAATTGTTCAAGATTTGAGCACTTTCAGCAGAGTTCCAGAACATGGGAACCAGCTCAAAAAAAACCAAGCAGGTTTTTCCAGATTGGGCCCAGTTAAAAAATCCATCTTTATGCCCTTCATGTGGGCTTAATCATATTTTATTATTTGTAATCAATTTTCTTAGCAATTATCAAACCAAATTGTTCTTATAAATTACCAAATTATTGTTTTACAAATTTAACTTAATTTAATGACTAAATTATAAATTATGATTAAATGAACTAAATACATGAAAAAATATGGTGCATGATTAAAAAAAAACATTGCTAAATTATAATATATTACCAATCTTAAAAAACAAATTATGCGTAATATGCATACAAATTATGCTGATTGCATAATTTATTTGGATTGTAAACCCTTCAGGTTGTTCAAATACATCAACAGATAATATATATAAAGCTATTTTTCAAAATAAATATATTTTTTGACATTTTCAGTTTTAAAAAAAATTGCCTTTAATTAGATTGCAATTGAAGAAACAAGGTAAGTGCCTCATGGTAGATAAAAAGAAAAGTGTCTTTACAACAGTTTTCTTTTTATTGTTAATGTTATGAATGTTAAAATAGAATTTCAAAACTGATAAAACAAAACTAAATTTTGAAAAAAAAATCTTTTTCTTCAATTTATTCTCTTATTTTAAGTTGAAAACCAAAACTTCTCATCTAATTACTCAATTATTCTCTGTTTCTCTTACGACCGCTGGACCAAAGAGAATATTTTTTTTTATTTTAGATTCATTCAAAACTGTGAAATAACTTAGGAACTGAAAAGCAGAAATATTTCAATAAAAGAAAATAGAAAGAGATTTTCTGATATTTTAAATTTTCAGCTTAATGAAATTGTCATGACACTTAGATTCAGTTTATATTTTTCATAACACTAAGAATTATTTCAGTTATTTCATCAAAATGCAATTCACTACACATTTAGAAAGTAGAAAAATGACTGAAATAGTTATTTACATATCCATTTCTTTTGTTATTCCCTGATAATCAAACAATATTTTTTAAACATGGACTACATGTTACATTCATATTTAGTATAGATAAGTATACATGTAGAATATACATAAAAAAAACTATCTTGAGGTAAAATTGGGTTTTTTTCATGAAAACACTCAACCACAAAGGCTGGTTTTTTTACGTAGTTCTTTCAAACTATGCATGAACAGAAAATATAAATAAATAAAAAAAATTCACAATTTTACAGTGAATTGTATTTGGTAACTAATGAAACAAGTCTTATTTAAATATCTTAAAAATTTAAAAAGTTTCTAGCAATTTTCTAAGTAGTCTTTTTAAATTTTGAAAGAAAGCTATGAATGCAGGTTTACCACAAATTTAATTTCGTAACATAAGACAAAATTTTATAGCAAATGATAGTACTTTATAATAATCGTATATACACCAAAATGTGATGGTTAAACGGAAGAAAACAGGTGAAAGAAAACACTTGCATGAAAGATAATCCCTAATAATGTGGTGTCATTTTTAATAAATCTTGTTTAATAGTAAAAAAAATGACTTCATTGAAATACCACTTATTATCGCTAGAAACATTTAATTGCTAGAAACTTTTAAAATATTCAAGATATACAAATCAGACTTTTTTTAATTAGTTACTAAATACAATTCTCAAAAAACCATGAAAAATTTCTTTAAATGTTTTTCGTGCATGCACAGTATGAAAGAACAATTAATGTGTAATTTTAAATGAATTTTTTTCAAATTTTAAAATAATTTTGTTGCTCCAAAAATTTTATTTAATTTTATTGAATACCTTTAAAGCTATAATAGAAAAACGTAAGTAAAAAAAAGTTATTTATGAAAACATCTGTAACTCCATAAATACTATTTTACCTAGGCTTGCAAAATTTTAAATAAATATTTCATATAATAACCAAATTAATCAATGCAAGTTACAAGTTCATTACTATATTTTCTACCATAGAGTATTCAAAAAACTTTTTTCGCCCAGTCCCTCAAATCTTTGAAAGTTTTGAATTTTATAGATAAGTGTGAGAAATCGTATGACCTAAACGCCTTTAAAGTTACATAATATTTCTCAAAGTATTTCGTGAGTAGTTTTTAAAAAAATTCAAAAACTGAAAGTCTCGTAGGGTAGTGTTATGTAGTTCAAGCAATAAAACAACAGAGCTTCACACAAATCAAAATTTGAAATATTTATGATTTTAAGAACATTGATTTTAAGAAGGAGAAACCTTCGACATTTGAAGGAAAAAAAATAGACATAATAGTAGAGAATTATTTTAAGATTGGAATTAATTTAGCAACAAACTGCAGGTATAGTAACAGCTTCAGAAAAACCATAAAAACCAAGTGAAAAAAAAAAGTTAATCAGGGAATGTAGCCAAATTATTCAACAAAAAGTAAGCACCTTTGAAGCACTTTTCAAGCATTCAAAAAATATTTTTAAGCACTTTAAAAAAAATTAAAAATCATAATTAGGCAGGGTTGGAAAGTTTTTGACAATTGACGGTTTTATCTTGTTTTAACCGTCATGTCAAAAAAAACTTTTGGAATTGTTTTTGACAGTTACTATATTTCAAAATCATGATTCAAAAATCATGAAATTTTGAATCATGTAAAACGAATGGCGTTTTCATACCCTACAATACGCCAAAATAGATTGGGATTGAATTAATTGTGAAAATGTTGAATAGAACAATGTGAACTGTGTCTTTTTGCATAATTTGTAGCGAAAATCAACATGGTAAAGGAAAAATCTCATTTTAAAAAAGGGAAAATTAAGCACTTTATAAAAACACCCAATAAAAAAAGTACCTTTAAGGGCTTTTAAAAAACGAAAATGGAAAATAAGCACCTTTAAGCACTTTTTAAAAATGCTACGCACCCTGTTAAACTTCACAAAACTTATATTTTCAAAATCAAACAGTTAAATATTTTTAGAAAAAAAACTCACCATTTATATTAACAGCTTGTTTTTTATGAGATTCGGGATATGAGCATGTATTGCCAGCAAACTCTAAGCTTGAATAATCAATACTAAAAAATTGACAAAAATAATTTATAAAACAATTGTTGATAATTAGCAGCTTTTCACTTGTAACTAAAACTTTATTACATATATATTAAATAACAGCAACCAATTAACATAAATAATTATTTTTTACCTCTTGAAATCATATGTGTGCAATAGTTCAACATTTATTGTATTTTTACTTTAATACTAATACAGTAGGGAACCTATTATCCGGAACAATCGGGACCATTGCTATTCCTGATAACTGATTTTTCCGGTTTTCTGAATCGCTACAAAAAGCCGTTTTTTTTAATTGTTAAACTTAACTAAAAAAATAAATAAATATTGGAAATAATCTTAAAAAGAAGAAAAAACGATGAAGTAATACACTAATGATTATTTCCAAAATGATGGTAAGGTAAAGATCTTTCAAAATAGAAAGAAAAATCCTAAAATCTTATGAGGAAAATTTTTTTTTTAAATGGCGGAAAAATTTATTGAGTTTCATTCCGGTTTTCTGATTTCCGGATAACTGGTTCTGTACTGTACAACATTGACTCCAAAAAAAAAGTTTTTCAGTCATAAAATAAATATTGGTCATGCCCACAGTTTTTTAACCCTTTTGCAGGGCAGAAAACTTTAATCAAAAAATTTAGTAAAGAAAAGTGAAGGTAATTGTGATCATCACATGCATATAAAGCAATTTTCTTGATCTTTATGTTTTGATTTTAAACAAAAAGTGGTTGATTGCACACTGCATTGTTTACAAAGATAAAAATTATTATAATTCTAGGGATTAATATTATTGTGAGAAATAAGTCGGACACATGTTTTTATTCCACCTTCTTTGAAAGGATAAAAAAGAACAAAATAAAACAATATTTATTACTACTGAATGATCAGAAAAGCTTGGATGATTCATTAATTTTTGTTATTAAAGTGTTCATAACTTTAAAAAAAAAACTTACCCAAGCAGTTTTGTTCTTTTTATTTAAATTTTATTTTCAAGAATTGGATTTATGTAGAAGAAAATCTAGCCTTTCCTTTATAACTCATTTAACCAATTGAAATTTTTGAACATTTTACAGTGATTTTGAGATCGCTATTAATATGAACTTCAACTTGCACTCTGAAAACTGTGATCTGGTTCAGAGTTTTCAAGATTAGTTATGAATTTCAAAAATTCTATATTAAGAGACAATGCTAGTAGAGTTATTGTGAAAACCTTTAATTTTATAGAGAAATACTTAAATGGCTCATGCAAAAAAAGGAAAAGATCACCTCTTTGTTTCTACTTCAAAGCCAACAACTCTGTAGTTTTCACTGTAATAATAAAACCTTCATATAATTATTAATGTAAGGAAAAAATGAAAATATGAATAAAAATATTTAAAAAAATATTTTAAAAAAAAAAATTAACTCACCCTGGCTGAGAATGGTACTTCAAAGTGATCTTCAAATGATTATTAATATAAGGCTAAATTAAATATAAAAAAAAAAAGAGTTATCAGTGGAAAACTTAGTAATAATGAAAATTCATGAGTAATAATTCCTTTTAAAAATAAAAAATATATAAAAAATTCTAAATTAGTTATAAAATTTTATGAACCTTCCAGAAAATTCTTTAATAAAATTTCTGCATGCAAAACATTTTAAACAAAATATTATTTTGCTTAAAGGGTCTTGTTTGTTTATATGACAATTTAAATGAAAAACCAATTCCCTTAATTTGAGACAATTTGCTGCCAAAACGTCACAAAACTAAAAACACCTCCACCTGAATTTTTAAACAACATTGTAACATTCTCAAAGCTGCTTAATCTTTTAGACCACTCCTGGTGAACCCAAATAATTTCACTTGTCCCACTTTAACATGTTTTGAAAAATATAATACAAACATAAAATAAATAAAACCTTGTTATACTATGATTCAAATATAATGAACTTTTGAATTTTGTAATTTATATTGTAAATCAAATCTATATCATATTCAATGTTGCACATTTTAGCTAGTTTTTTAACTTTGTATCAGTTTGCACAGTAAAAGATAAACTCTTTATAAATTTCAATTCGGAAAAAACAAATTTTACAAACATATATGATACAAAAGCACTTACAACTACTAGTACAATATATCTGTAAAGATTTCTCAAGTGAAATATAAATATTAAAAGAAAAAGAGAAACTTTTGGTGCGAAAACAAAAAATTATTTTATTCCATTATTGTTTGCTAATTTTAGAAAATGATTATCAAATGTTAAGCATTATTATTCTTAAGTCAGGGATGAGNAAAATATTTTAACTTGTGCAAAAAACAATTTCAGCGGAAATTAGCGGGAAAAATGGAAAAATCTGAAAAAAAGCGGAAATCCGCGAATCCGCGGAAGAATCTCATCCCTGTTAAGTTGACCCCCTTATTAAGCATTTATCAACATTTTCATAAAATACTTTCATTAAAATCTTTCATTTACAGGCATTAGTTTTAAAATTATCTTAGCCATTTAAGCCCTTATTTAGTTGATTAAGTTTTTCTGTTACATGCCAACATGTTAAAAAGCAATAGGTCTTTACATGTTAAAAAGCATACGACAAACAACCAATCATCACTTAAGTTAGGAAGATTCCTTATTTCTCGTTCAGAAACATACCTATTTCCTAAAGTTTGTTTAAATAAAATAAATTCTTTTTTTCTAGGACTTAACCATCTAACATGGATTAAATAAATTTGAAAAGGATTTTTTAAAATTGCCAATCATCAGTGAGCTTTTTACTCTGGACATAGCTTGAAATATGTGTTAAAGAATATAGACATAACTTAAAATGCCTTATAAGAAAACCGAGTTTAAATTTGTGTTTAAGAAAATGGACATTGCTTAAAATGCATATTTAAGAAAATGGGCCAGAAATGTATCTTATCAATATCCAACCCAAATTGTAATAACTGAACAAGGAGTTATGCTTGTTATTTTTTTAACACTAGGTGTAATCATTATGCAGCAATATCACAGGCTTCAAGGATGGGCTGGACAGTATATTACAGTTGTAACTCTTCAGGCAATCTCCTTATAATCAAATCTCTACACAATTAAGTGGCATTTAAAAATCAAAATTCCTTTAATTTAAATTTATAAACACATTAATTTACAGGATCTATGGCTACCCGGCAAAAAGAACTGTTGATTTTTAATGCCTTTTTTAAAAGTAAAAAAAAGACTAGGCCAATAAAAATCTAAGTGATTTATGCAAATAGATACAGAAAATTACAAATTTATTTCAATTCATTAGTTACTTCTTTTAAAAAAGAATAATCATAAAGGAGTTTTAAAAAATTGAATCAAATGCAATGTTGATTATCTTAAATAAATATTTCAAGTTAAGTCCATTTTCTTAAATACACGTTTCCAGTTATTTATAAAAGATTAAGATTATCAACACAATTTTGAAAAGAATTTGAACTTCTAATTTGTGAACTACTTTCGTATAGTGATTCATGGACAATACTCAAACACATAAATTTCATTGATGTATAATGAATATTTAAAACAGCATTGGTTTTAATGTATCTGCAATTCTAAGAGTAAGCATTAAGAGATTTTACATCTTCCTTAACCTTTAATCTAAAACAGGTACTCTATTTGTTGGTGATCTTGAAAGAGCTTCAAAATGTAAGCTATTTTTGGCTAATTGGCCCGGATAACCTCCTATCTAGTTGTATTTTTTAAACTTTAATTTTTAACACATCTTCTATCTTTTAGAAATAATCATTCATGCCGCAACTAAATATTACGACTTGAGATGCATCCTAGATGTTTGCACTTGCATCAAATGCCAAAGAATATGCTTTGAATTTGGCTAATTTTATCTCAAAAAATTGCTATGATGTCAACTAAAATGTCATGAACGTGATGAAATACAGTTTAGGATGAAACATTAATACCCGAAAATAGTTTGTTTTTATTGATTATCTTTTACAACTGCTCCAAAACAATCGTTTGCCAATTTTTCATCAAAAAATGGTTCCATTTATTTTACAAGAAATGAAGCCACCGTAAGAGAATAACTTACTTTGACGATGGTTGACAGTAGTTGTAACAGTGAATCAAACATTGCTGAGCTTTAAGAAGTGATTTAAGCATAGTTAAGGTAACATTTTTTACTCCTTTACTGAAATTCACTAACTCAAAATGTCTTGCATTTTAACATTATGATGTTTATTATGGTCATTAAATGCTGTGACCGTCTTTCTTAAAACTAAACACATTAATTTTATATTCAGCACTAGGAAAAAAATGCATGCATTTAAATGCATTTTAAAATGCAGCTAGCAATTGAATAATATAAAACCAACTTACTACTCCTTTTTCAACAAAACCTAATCTATAACCATGCTCATACTGTGGTAATCCATCATTGTAATCAAATCTTGTAGCACAAGGAAGATTATCAATTAGTCTGTAAAATAAAATCTACATCAATAAGAGTTGATGCATAATCAAGCAAAATACAAATCAATTTACATAAAAGAATATAAAACCTAAGGAATGAACAATAAACACATGAAAATATTGGTGTCATGGTATTGATTTATGAGAAAATGTTTACTTCAATATTTAATAAATAGAAATAAGCGTTAAATAAAAAATTACTCTCAGAATTAGAATATGTCTCAAAACATATTTACTAAACATTAGAGCAACATTTCAACAGACAATTGAAGAAACATTTCAGCTTATATATTAATATTGTGAGATCATAGTATGGTGGAACTCAAACCTGATAATTTTTGTTTTACTTTTATTTTTCTGCAAAAATGAGCAGGGCTTTAAATGATAAGATTACTGAATGTTATCATGTTAAATTAACTTTAAAACATTTAAGCAGATTAATGTTTCATTTCAGTAATATTTATATGAAAGCACCACTGAAATGAAATATTTTAATTTTATCCAACATTAAATAGTATTTAACATAAGAAACAAACTTCGTCACCGGTCATAATTTTATAGATTTACATTGGTCTGGGGAGAAAGAATTTTAAAATCAGAGAATGTCATTTAATAGCACTAATCATTTGATAACAAATATTTTGTAAATAAATTGCTATAAAAAATAAACAGTGAATGGGAGAATCAATAAATCTGTGAGTGAATTATTAATCTGCAAATAAATAAAAAGTTAATAAACATTTAGTTTCGTGTATGGAAGTTGACAACCACAACTTTTAATTTCATTTAAAAGAATATTTTGATAAAAAAGAAGGATGATAATTTTTTTTAAAATAAAACTATGGACAGTTCTCCGGTAAGTGTAACATTTGTGTCTTTTGCCTCAAGTCAATTCATTTTCTTCATAAGAACTTTTTTTTTTTTTTTTGAAAATCTAAACATTAAATTTATTATATCATAAATATTTTGTCTAACAGTACAATTTTGATCTTTAATGGATAATTTATAAATGGATTTAAATTTATATCGATAATCTAAGTACTAATCTAATATATATAATATATATAGATAAATATAATGAGATTATCTAGGTTTACACATATTATTTATCAACATTTCATCATAATCATCCCCTTAAAATATATTTTTATTTTCATTAACACAATTAATTGCATCATAAAAATATCTTAAGCGTATAGCAATGTATATTTAACGACATTCAAAGTTGTGCATATTTTATTAATAATACTTTTTTTTTTAAAAAAAAGTGTCCCATAAATCATGCTCTGTACTTTTGACTGTCAGACTTTCTGGAGAATCCCTCTTGTGAAAGAATACAATTTTAAACATAATGTGTTTATAAGAATAATTTTTCGAAAGTAATTTCATCACTAATTCTTGATGTAATGGCCTTTAAAACACCTGCATAACACCTTTTTCGAGTAAAAATGAGGTAGATTGTCATATAAGCACAGAAACGGCATCAATAAAATTAACAAAACATGCATATGTTAGGAAATAAATCTTAACTATGTTGTTCTGTCAGTCATGCACCTCTTTTTCATAAGTTATAAATTAATCTGCAGTAGAAGCCCTAAAAATTGTGGAAGTTCCCACAAAATGCTTGAGAGGGCAATAGAAAAAGTAATTTGATTCTGCACAAGAACAAAACAGCCATAATTAATTTTTGTTTAATTTGTTATAGGTGTATACTATAAAACCGTCCCAATAAATAATGAATGTATGTTATTTCACAAATTTAATGTTTTGATAGAAATTTTGTCAAAAACACTCAATAGACAACATAGTAAAGATAAAAAGTTTTTATTTGAGATAAATTGGATTTTTAATACTTCATCTAGAATCATCTGATGTACCACAAGTCTTATTGGCTTTAAATCACTTTTGCTTCTTTATATTACTTAATAGAGATGTTTTTCACAAACATTACACTCAATTAAGTAAGCAAAATGTGTTGTTATATAAAAAAAATACATAATGTATTCTATAATTTTAAAATTACTAATTTCTGTAACTTACAAGATTGTGTTTAGTATATTCAAAATATAACATTTAGAATATTTCACACATTTTAACATATTATTCTTCGAAATGCAATATTAAATTCATCAATTGAAATTCACTACCAGTAGAAATGAAGTTTGGAGATAAAGCTATTAGCAAATATACTGCTGCCATAAAAAAAGCCTCCTAAAAAATTATGATTTCATAGCACTATCTTACGCAAAATTGTTTCAACCAATGACAAAACTTCCTGGATTTAATTTTTTTATGCACCAAGTGTTTCATATCACCTCAGAATCCTGATTGTACAATTTGTCCACAGAGAATATTTTAGCACATAAAATTGAATAAAAAAATTAAAAAAATCTAATGGTTCTTTCCTAAAAAAAAAAAGCATTCTTGCATTGAAATTAGCATGTTTAATCATGATTGCAGATAATGATTATACAAATTATAAGACATTTCTAGGAGATATTATTCTGACACTTTACAGGATAAGAATTATCCATGACACAGTTTAAAACATACATTTTTCTAACATACATACATTTTTCTAACTGTACATAAAAATTGTTAAAGTTACAATTTAATGTAAAAATTATCCATGACACAGTTTAAAACTTTCTACAATCTTCTATTATATCATAATAAATCTTAAATGTAACCAAACCACAGGTGAAAGAGAATATAAATACAACTTACAAGTGAACATAATATTGATGCTGAATACGGTTGGCAACTAATTTTGATTCTGGAACAGACCAATTAAGTGGAGTTTTTGGATCATTGCATAACACACGACATGACTGATCTACAGCCATTATTACTTCATAAGGCGTATTAACAATTCGATCCCCTCTTAAAACTTCACCTAAATAAAACAGAACAGATTATAGAGAATAAAACTGGATTACACATATATAGCCTCAAAAACATGAATAACATTTATATAACCTTACCACAAATTTAAATATCACGTATTAAAGGAAATTTTTATTATTTTGAGGATTTAAAATCATTGTCATCATCATATCAAGATAAATAATTAACATTGTAAAAGATTTTAACTTTTAGAAATTATAAGAGTAAAACTGATATACTAAAATAAATTTCAAACATTTCTTAACCATCTAAACATTCTGTTCACATTCAGGTACATTTTATAACCATTTCCTTAAGTCATTATTCGAGAAAGAGTAATTATTGAAATACACCCAGTAGCCGCTAAACTGAAATTAGGCTGCAGTTTCAGGAAAATTTTGTTCCAAAGAAATAGTACATTCTGAAAATTTAATATGCAATAAACAATGTACATTAGCATAGTAAAAAAATTGCAGGAAAACATTGTGATGAAAGTTTTGTGGATGTTATAAGGTTTTTAACATGTTTGCAACTTACGATAATTGAAACTGGGTTCGAAAAAAACTTTAAAAGAAAAAAAGTTTTTGTTTCACAGATTTAAACCAGTTTTCTTTTGGTTAATTTAAAACAAAGGGTAAAAATGCTTTTTTAATTTTGCACTTTTTTTCACAAATTAGAAATAACTAAACCAGTAAAAAGTATTTCATAGAAATCTATGTAAATAATTGATTAATATTTTGATTAAAGAATAAAAAAATTTAATTGTTTAAAGATAAATTTTTCGTATTTTTATTTACTGAATCAATAACGTATTTTAATATAAAGGAGCATGAAATAATGAAGACTATATATTTTTCAATTTAAAAAATAATTCAAATTAATAGAATGATGAAAAGAAATAAAAAAGACAAATGGATTGCATAAATATAAATATATAAAATAGTAAAAAGTATGTTTTAGTTCCAATGGTTTAAAAAAGAAATTATTTTTCACACATTCATTTTAACATAATTGGCTTTAATTTTAACAATATCCTTGCTGATATAGTGCAGCATTAAATAAAATTAAAAATATTATAAAATTTTAAATATTTTTATTAAACAGTTTTTTTTTAAAACATTATACAGTACAGAACCCGTTATCCGGAAATCTGAAAACCGGAAAACCAAAAAACCGGNATAGAATGATGAAAAGAAATAAAAAAGACAAATGGATTGCATAAATATAAATATATAAAATAGTAAAAAGTATGTTTTAGTTCCAATGGTTTAAAAAGGAAATTAATTATTTTTCACACATTCATTTTAACATAATGGGCTTTAATTTTAACAATATCCTTGCTGATATAGTGCTGCATTAAATAAAATTAAAAATATTATAAAACTTTAAATATTTTATTGAACAGTTTTTTTTAAAACATTATATTAAAAAAATGTAATTTGAAAGTATTACAATAATGAATATAACCATACCCAGACTCGTATAATATACACGATCGCGCAATGAACAGAGAATTTGTAACCATCTCTGAAATTTTTTCACTATTAATAAAAAAGAAAAAAAAAGAAAGTTGGTCTTTTTTTAATTCCTCAGGAGAAAAAAAAAGTTTTATGCTTTTTCCTACCAATGCAAACACAATTCTAATATTATGACCCTATGATTTAAAATCACTCATTGCAATTCCTATTAATGTAATTTAAGATTGTGCATAGTGTTTTGTATCTTGATAATTTTATATCAAATATCGTGTTTTGCGTGGCCAAAGAATACCTGAAAAGGCCTTTCCATTTCCCTTCTAACCTTCAGTAAGAGTTCGGCCCGAACATGGATGAAACATAGAGCACCTCCAAAACCAGTTCCACTGTCTCCCCTACATTTTTGGTGGGGGTACGTGTACTTCCTGCTGGGGTGTTAAGTAACCTGAAACTAATCGACTAACCACTGTCACAAAAGGGGGATCGCAACCTGCGGGGGTCAACTAGCTTTAAAAAGATATCAGAAGAAACTCACTCTAGATCTTATATTATGCTTTTTCTTTTTCTCAGAAAAACTTAACAAATATTTTTTTTAAACTCTAAAACGGCTTTATTTATTTTCAAAATGGTCTTATAATTTTATTTAATATGCACTTTTTCTAATTATATTTTGAATTGTTTATTATTTTGATTTGATTATTAAGAGAACTAATAATAACCAGAGTATTTAAATTTATAAAATTTTACTATGTAGTCATATGAAATTAATTCATATAAAGTAACTACATTAAAAATAAATTGATATTTTCTCTATAAATCAAATAAAGTTTGTTAGTTTTTTTCCAAATTGATTTGCTAATTTGTAAAACTTTTAATGTTAAAGTAAAACCTTGAGTTCAAGATTTTATTTTTTTATTACTTATTTAATTTTTTTCTTTCAATTACAATTCAAATACAAACATTTTTCGCAACCTTTTTTTAAATTATTTTTCGCAACCTTTTTTTTAATTTTAATTAACCTTTTTCAATTTTTTTAAAGATTGTTATACCATTTTGAAACTAATTAAATTCTACCACTTTAAAAAACTATGTTTACATTTAATCCATTGTTTAAACAAATATAGCAGCTTAATGTGTAAATATGATTTAGACTTAAACATTTGAATTTCGCTATTTGAATGAACTAAATTAACCTTCATTAGAAACTCACTTCATTTTAATTATTACTTCTGCTAACTACATTTATTATTGTATAAATAACTTCGAACTGGAATTATGATTCGATCTTAAAAAATAAACACTGGGGATATTTGCTATTTGTCACAAATTGAAACATCAAAATTAAAAATTATTCGATTTAATGATCACAAAATTTTAAATCACATTAAGACAGATCTAGTCTCTGATTATATCACTTAACTTATTCTAATAACTTAGCTCGGATACATTAAAAACTTCACCCACAAACTCATATTCATCATTTTTTCTTACATTATTTCAACTTAATTATAGTTACTTTAAAAACTTATCGCCAAAGACATTATTTAACAATACAAAAAAAAATCCTTATTGATCTAAAGCAGTTATTTAGTATAAATTTATTAAACTGCATATTTTGAGAGTGCAGTTTTATATGAAGTTTACTTTAAAGGAATAAAGGAAAATATAACTTACTTATCAAAAAGCAAATATTTTTTATTTATCAGCTTTTGGATGTTAAACGGTATTTATATTTTATCAAATAATTTTTATCAAGTAATATCTTGTGATTACTTTAATAATAAAGGAACTTCATTTTTAATTTTAAGCCTTTAACTTAAAATTATTATAACCCTAATAACAAAGAATAATGGTAAAAGTGGGTAATGAACGCATTTTATTTGTAAATGTCGTAAATAAAAGGACAAATAAATAACTTACAAAAGTATAACTTATTTCTAAGAAATTCCTTAAAAACTATCTTTGATAAGCTTTATAATTTTCTAAACGTAGAAGTAATATTATAAGAAAATTGATGTAACTCTTTCATTTCAGTTTTGAGGGTTCATAAAAAATACCATCATTTCTGTCGTAAAAATAAATTATAACATTTTCGACTAATAAGCTGAAGTGACAGTTTAAATTTATTTTTCTAATAGATCATTTCGATGGATCAATTAAAAACAACAAAATAAAACAATTCTATGTTGCATTTTAATATATAGATTTGTGAAGCTGCTCACTGTAATTAATATAAATATTTATCAAAATAATCGAAATTAATTTATAATCTTAATTATTAATTTATAATTATAACTCTTTTTTTACAACATAACAGATTGAGACAAGTCTACTTTACAAAATTTTATCAAATATAAAAATACAAAAAATTATGGTTATCTAGGAGATATATTCATATAGATGGTATGTTGGCTAACCCTGAGAGGTTTTCGTGTTTTTCCTCTCCATGTAATGCTTATGCGGTTCAGTTTTCTTATATTTTATTTAACTATAACTACACTAATTAAAGTTCGCAGTGCAGACATTTCTCTACTCAAAAAACTCTTCTCCATGAATGGCAAAGGAGGGTCAGGGAAGAGAAATTAAAATAACACATTGATTACATACTTTGTTCTATCAATATAAAAGAGCAAAAAATTGTGAATAAAAATTGCATTACACACTTTTGACATGAATTCGAAAAATTTCTCGCCATTAAATACATAAGATTTTGCATAATTACTACTCTTAATATATATTTTCAGAATATTGCGAAAAAAAGTTTTAAAAAGTATATTAATTAGGAATTACTGATTCATGTTAAAACAATAAAAAAAGAGTAATAGTTTCAAAATCTAGTGAATCAACTAAGGAATCAGGTCTGAAAACATCAAAACCAGTTCGACTGTCTGAAGTAACAAAGAGTAGCTTAATTCTAAGTATTACAACTTATTTTTATTTTTTAATTTATCGTGATGAAATTTTGTAGTGTTTATAATAATCACATTTCTCATTCTTTCTATTTCATCTGGCAATCAAACTGGTTTCAATATTTTCAGTGTTGCGCTCCTAAGCAGCGATTCATTATATTTTGATACCGTTTGTATTTTTCTCTCGTGATTATTAATTATGTCCACTAATGTTCTTTTATTTCCTTTTTTTTTAAAGAATTTTACAATATATGCGTATATTTTCATATTTTTCCTCATTTACTGATTAAAATAAAAATTTCATTATACTTTAGTATTCTTGTGTATTTACATTAAAGCCCTAAAAACAGGGTTAAGTGCTTGTTCATGTTTGGATGATGTGTGGTCTTGTGTACTAGCTATTTTTTTTCCTTACTGTGGAAAAACAAACTATCCCAGCTATTGGAGTAATTAAAACTATTTACGGAATGGAAAAATTGAAACCCTTTAAATTTTTTTAATGTAAATGTTTTTTTAAACCTACAAATGAGTGTACGATATATTTTTTTTTTTAAAAAAGGAAAACTGCAGTTTTGTGATGCTTTAAAGTATATTGGATTATCTTTACGTCATTGTCTCAATTTTAATTAATCTCACTTTATTCAGCAGCTAATTTTTTTAATTCTGAAACATCTTTAAAAAAAAAGAAAAAAAGTTTTGAAAAAAGGGGGAATAATGTATATAAAAAATAAATTCCACTCTCAAAATGAATAAAAACAAGAAAATTGCTACTACTAAAGAAATAAAATGTATAAAGAATGAACGAATTATCAGTAAATATAATTTTCATAATAAATTACAATCTTATAAAGAAAAAGAAATCTATCGGCTTTTAAAGCGTTCCCCATAACAGTTCTTCAAAAGGACAGAGAGAGAAAAAGATTTTCAAAAGGGAGCAAGACCACCTACGGAGAAGATTAGACCTCAATCGTCTGTTGGAGAACGAACTTGGGGGTGGAAGTTGCCTTCCTCTCTTACTCAAAAGTAGAAAGTGACTTGTGTTTCAAAGGCAATATTACAAAAAGTAATAAAGATAAAAAAAAATTTACCTACATTTTCGTGGATAGGAAAGATTGAAAAAATTATTAGTATTTTTTTTTTAATTGATCACTCCGATTCTTAAACAAGAAAAATCTATTCAAAGTATGACAAGCCTGCCATAGACTTTACATGTTAAAAGCAGAATTGAGGAGTCTGCTTGGTTCAACACTTTTCTCCCGGCAACCATGATTGGGGAAGCGACTTTCTGATCATTTGAGCTCGCCCCGTGTTCTTTGTATGCACGCAATTTAAAAGCCACCATTATGATTCGTGTTTAAGTGACATAATTAGACATCAAAATTTGTACTCACACAAATAAAACATTGAGTTGAAATTCCTGTTCACACGATTTTAAAATCTAACATTGAAATTCATATTCACTTGATTTTAAAATCAAATATCGAGACTTGTAGTCACGCGATTTTAAAATTAAATGTCGAGATTCATATACATGCGATTTAAAAATCACGTATTAAGAATCATATTCGCACAATTTAAATAAATAAATAAAACCTTGCATTGATATTTTGATTAAAACAATGATAACATTCTGTGGATAAATGCTTCGCATACATTCTTTTTTCTTGCTAAAATTTAAGGTGCTTTTTTCAATTATTTAAAAAAGTGTTTTTGTGAATTTTTTTTTTTACTTTTTGGATACCTATTTTCAGCTTTTTTGGTTTCTTACAAAATTAATCCCTTTGTTATAAATCAATATAGAATTCCATAAAAATCAAACACTTTTAAAAACTTTCATGATTTTAAACAAACTTTGCCTTAAATGCGGTGGCGACGAAAGGGTAAGAACTAGTTACAATAGTTAATCAATGGGCCCCAAAAGTTTTTTAATTGAGATCTAGTGTTCGCAGAAAATGTTTTGCTTCATCTAAGTCTAACCATATCGTGTATTGATTTGTAAGACGTCTGCATTGTTTTTCGGAAATCCTTTTTCTTTTTTTTTATTGTCGAGTGCAGCGCTAGATGATAATAATCTGATGTTAGTTAGAACATAGTCATCGCGAAGATGTAAATGGAATTATAGGCAAATAGTATGTATAGAATGATGTAGGTGAGATTGCATGGGTGACAAAAGTGGCGCTAATAAAAATGTGCCAAAAATGGTTGGTGAGGGAAAAAAACGATGAAGATCGGGTGCAGGTGCCTGAAAAATCTGTTCCAAATATTGCATATACACAATACAATTTGGTTTACTCTAGTAACAGAAAATAATTTGAAAATTAAACCATTAAAATATAGAAAAAAATCTTATTCTGATATGAACTTTTGATAGAAGAAAGCATTATGTATAAGAGTAGGACTGTATCCACAAGAAGTTAAATAAGGAAGCCCAAGGCAAATTAGAATATGTTTCGGCGAAGCTGGTTGAACACAGCATTGTTTGCAAGTAGGAATGATCTTTCTGCCATCCTCAAAAGTAAGGCACTTAAGATGACCACTTGAAAATCTGGCCAAAGCAATCTGGGTTCTTCGGTCACATTTTATGTCCAGCAGGGTACCAGGGATGTCCTATGATACCAGTGGTGTGTAGGTGATATACGCCATAATAGATGAAACTTGAATCTTTCAATGGAAAAGAGCGCCCTATAAGCGAAGAGAGAATGGTTGTTTCGTCACTTCCTCTTTTGCCAATCTGTCTTTGCCTCATTACCACGAATATCCACTCGTAGTGGTATCCGTTGGAGGCGAACATTGTGATTCTCAGAGATTGTCCTTAGTTTGTGCAGAATAAATGCTGGTTTTGTTGCTTGCAAAGGGCCAGCCACTTAGATGTTGCAGTGAGCTGCAGCTGTCTGATAAAAACCATAATTCACTAAATTCACTTTCCTAGGACAAGATAGCATCAAGCTCTACATTGATTGGAATTAGCTCACTCCTAAAGACAGAACAATAATCAGGGTTGCATTGTTTAAGTTTACTATCAAAGAGAAGGGTTTTAACGTAAATGCCACAGCCAGTACGATCTTTTATACAACTAAAATCAGTATAGACCTGCATAGCATCTAACCTGCATATCATCTTCAGGAATGCAGCAAATGATTTCCAAAGCCAACTGTCTAAGATGGTCGTCAAGGTGAGTTTGCAGAGGAATTCAAATCTAAGTAAGTGGAAGAAAACTCTTGGCAGTCCCTTAGAGGGATCAATACAAGTTTGGAATCATTAGATATAATACTCAAAGATACAAGTTTGGAATCATTACAATACTTAAAGCACTATCACACAAACTCAGAAAGTCACAATGCGATAAAATCATTCACAAGAAATCCACAACAAGACTCTAAGACCAAAAAAATAGTTAGACTATCTCAAAATGTGAATTAGTCACAATTTTATAACATAATTCTAAGGACCAGGAATAAACTTAACGATCTAAAATTATAAACTAGCCACGTTAGCCTGTATCAATTAATGTTTCTTAAATCAAAAATTTCTCAATTGAACCAATAGTTTCACATAGTTTATATGTATATTAAAACTAAAGTAATTAATGAAAAAATACAATTTCTTCAAAATATAAACAAAAAATGCAAATTTAAATTTAGTTTAAAATTTAGATTTTTATAATTCCAACTTACCTAAATTTTCAGATTTATAAACAACAGCTCCATTCTTTGGACGACAAAAAGGAAGAGAATAGTATTCGTAAGGAAGTTGAGTTAATGTACTAGTCATTTTTACAGCTTTTACTTCTATGCTATCTCCCTTCCTGAATTCAACAGGAGCAACACCAGGAACATAAAAGCCGTTTGTTCCTTCAAACAGGATGATGAACAAAGAAATAAAATAGCAGGCAGTAACATGGTTTATTCTATGTAACTGAAAAGTGAAACATTAATATTATTTCCTTCATAAAAGAAAATGAGTAAATGAAAGAAAGTACTTCATATAAATGACTAACAAATATAACACAATATAAACATTAGCCTTTTTCATTTAACAATTTTTATTCAATGAAAATTCATTTTAGAAAAGAAATTAATCTTAACTTGAGAAAATGCAAAAGTCTAATTTTTGTACTAACAAATTATCCTATTTAACACTATGTTCTATTATGTACTAACAAATTATTCAGTTTAGTTGTTCATTGAAGCTATTTTTCTATTAAAACATATTAACGACATATTCTACCATAACTATTAAAACCAACAAAAAAAAGACAAGAAGTCAGGCAGCTATTCACGTGTTATATTTATATTTAAGCCTATCATGAGATTGTTTTTCTTTCATATTTCAATGAATTTATGTCTCTAAACTTCAAACTTCTAAAAATCATTTCTAAAATGGGTTACTCAAATGTATCTTGTGTAAAACAAAAAAAATTAATTTATACAAAAGCACAATTTTCTTTTAAAGTAAGCAGTTCTCTTTAGCTTTACCATAATCATACATTGAGTTTTGTAATAAAAAACAAAGGATGCAAGACAATTAATTATTGAAGTGTAAATAGTTAAGGCATTATGCAAGCTTCATAGTGGGCTTTTTAAAAAAATCAAGACATTTTTGTAATATTCCAGACTACTTTTAAAAAAAGATTTTTAAAAAAAAGTATTTTTAGTATCACTTGCAAATTTTATCACAATAGGAATAACAACTAAAAAAAAAAATTTCTATTTCATAATTGTTCCGTTTAGAACAGAAAGTTTTAACTATAATTTAATTCAAGCATAATTTTTTCAATGCAGAGCAAAAGAGCATACTAGTTTGAAATTAACACATCAAAAATTATTATAATTAAGTTTCATTAAAAATAAAGTAGCAATTAGTTAATATTTCCTCATATTAATATATAGTTAAAATTTATAATTGAGTTCAAGGCTTCCTTAATCAAATAATAAAGGTTTTAATCTTGAAAAGAAAACACAGTGAATAAGACACTGAACATTTTTGTATGAAAGTAATTCAAGCATAATTAGGGATGAGAGTGGTCAAAGCAAACAGGAAGAAATTCAAAAATATATCCATAAAAAAGAAGAGGAAGAAACATGTATACAGTACAATAACTAAAAATTTGACAAAAAAAAGGAGAATCTATTAATTTTAAAGGTACAATATAAAAAAATTTCCACAACCGATTTAGAAATTTTATTACTCAAATATTGTACTCTAATATTTATTAAATTTGAATGAAAATATACTATATATTGTACAAATAAAATAAATTTCTTTAATAGGAGTCTAAAACTAGTAGTTTTTTTAAAAAATTACAATTGTTTTTCAGTAAACATTTCTTTGATTGTCATTTGAAAAATTGCTTTATTTTATTTTATCGAAGAGCGATTTCTCTCTCAATTTATTATTAAGGAAATTCCTTAATCAAAAAATCCTGAGCATTTTAACAAACATTTGCTTTAATGTTCTTTTCTCATTTCTACCAATCAGTTTTCAACAAAATATGATGTCATAAAATCAATTTGATTGACATAAGACAGTTTTAAAGTCATCAATAAGTACTTAAATTTAATCGAGCATGATGTTATTGACACACAGAATTTTCTAATCAAACAAATTCAATCTAAAATGCACTTTTCATCAAAAAAAATTCTGATATTTTTAATACTGTATTATGAAACATACATAATAATTGGAGGAATATGATTGCCAAATTATTATACCTTAATTTTCTCATAAATCTTTTATTGGACAATGTCGCCACATGATCCATATGAAAATTGGGGTTTCTTAAACTAGCTCTCATTAACTGTCACAGTGCAACAAAGCAACTAGCATGTGCAGACTGAAACTGTATAGCATTGTTGAAAAGAACTTTAAATATTTATAATGATAATGGCTTGGAACTTTTCAGAGCACAAAAAAATATAACAATAATTGTACGGTGTTTACTTAATTACAAAAATTCATTGAATCCAGCATTTCTCTATCCAACGTTATATAAAAAAACTCTACCTCCAATGAATCGATAGGGCAAATTCTCTAGTGAAGAATGTTGCTTGTTTTTTAAATAGTTTAATCATGAATACAGCTTAGCTAAACACTTTGAATAACAACAATCAAACAAAAGTAAATTATTCTTGTTAAAGCAACCTAATGCTTGTTCAACAGTACTTTCATACATTAAAAAAAAAATCAAGCCAACGGGATAAGAGGCACAGTAAAAAAAATTTTTCAATGTCATGTAAAAAAAAGTATTGCAGAATTTTGCTGAATTTGCAAGCCTAACACACATATAAATAAAATAAAAATTTCCTAACAGAAAGTTTGCACTCCTACTGGCAAGCAGTTTTGCTAATTCAACGTATATGTATGTTATATTACAATGTATATGCATATATGTATTTACAATAATTGAAACAAATAGGATATAACAAAACTTATCTGATAAATTATGTTTAGTTCAAAAAGTGATTTTAAAAGGCCAGGTATAGAAAATAAAAACATCTTATAGTATAAAAATTTATTAGAGCAGATAAAATATTCTACAAGGTAAAAAATGTAGTAAAACACAATGATCCATAGGTTCTAATGAAAAGAAGAAAAAAGAAGTATCTTAAATTTAAAGAAGCATTTAATAAAAAATAAAAAAAATTCAAATATTATCAGAATAAAAATTTGAATAAGTTTCAGTGTTCATAATTCTATTGCTCTTTATTGATTTACATTTACATTTAAAATGCCTTCAACACCAAAAAATTTACAACTGACACCGAGATAAAACAATTTATATATTGTGTTAGATTTTTAAAAAACTTTCAAAATTGCTTTAAAGCAAAATAATATGAATAATAATGAATAAATATTCAAATTTAAGCTACAAAATTAATTGTGCTTAAAATTAAATTCCAAAACAATTCACAGAATTTAAAGGATACATAACCAAGTAATCAGATTTTAATTTTGCGTGATTTAGGCCCAACACCAACAGGTTATTCCATTCAATATGAACTGAATAATATCAAATTTTATAAAATAAATGATTTTTTGATACAATATAGTGAACTAAGTATTTTAAATACAAATTTAATAATTTCAATTTGTAGTTCATAAATGAAATTGTTCAAAGAAATTTTAGTTCATTTTTTTACGTTTGACACAATGGGCCTTTAATATATAAAAAGCCTTATGTATATTAAACAATAAAAAGTAGATCATCTTACTTACATTTCTTATATGCATTTTTACTGAGTTATTCAATCAGGCAGATGTACTATTCAAATAATAAAATCACCTAAAAATTACAACCTTCGTACGTAGGCAACATACGAAGTATGAACAAGAGTAATTCTTAGCTAGTCCACATTTTCTCACAAATCCTGTGGATATAAGATAATAAAAAATTACTCAATTGAAAATATATATATATATACAATTTTGATAATGATCTAAAATAAAAATCATGATGTAAATAGAATGTGCAGCAAGTAAAAGGGTTATGTATAAAATAAATAAGTTTTATCACATAAAGCCATTGGAGCATGCTCCTAACATTTTCAACATTCAAGTTGTTATGGTCTGGTAGTTAATTTTGAGCTAAAACTACGAATGGGGTATTGATGAGATTTATAGTTGATATGTGTACTACTCTACCACAATAAAGATCAGAGAACAGACCTAGCTTCAACACCACTCTTTCTAACAGTACTTAAACTTTTCCAGCTCTGAAAACACTAGTGACATCACATTTTAGTACTCCGAATTTTTTTTCTCCAAAAATAAATAAATAAATAAAATATATTTGATTGAAAACAGATGTTTATTTAATATTCTTGAAAATATAAATAACTTTTGTTAATAATTAGCTACATTTTAAAACATAATTATCATTGAAATATTCATAAAAATAAATCATAACAATATATTTCAAAGTATATTAGCAAATAAAAAATTATTTTATAGTAATTATACATGTAAATGCATAACTCAAGTTTATTGAAAAAGGAATTGATTTGTGTTATTACAAACCCTAGCTACTGAAATGCAAGCTAATGTACACAAATCACAAAATTAATTTTGTAGCATTTTATTTTTTTTTTAATTTTCAAACAACAAGAAAAAAATTGGCTTTTATCTTACCTGAACTATGGGTAGTTAAATCTTTCTATATAGAATAACCCAACATATTTATTTAAAAAAAATCCCACTATAAGAAAATGCAAATTGAATTTATCCTCAAACAGCCTTTTTATGCCATATTATGGCAACTTCTTATAGTGTTGCATTATTTATTTGTTGCTTTTCTATTTTGTCCATACATTAAGATTCAGAACTAATTTGCAATACTAAACTTTGAAGATAGTGCATGTTACAGATTTCTTGCAGAAAGATTTTTCCCTTGGAAGGTAAAAAATTTTGGTTCTCCTTTCGACAAAAATTTTAGAAAGATTCCTTTTTTTGGCAGAATTATATTTAAAAGATGCCTTTCTTGTGCATCAGAGGGGAAAGAAATGCTCCTGATTTATCTATTCACACTTGAGGATTAAAAAAAAATTGGTAATGCCTGGTTTCAGCTAGATTTTCAAACTACATATTTTCTAGAAACTATTCGAAATTCCTTTTAATATATAAATAAATAAATAATTCTGAAATCACAAAAGTTTGAAAGATAGTTTCTAGAAATCAAGTTCTTTTGTTTTGTTCATATTCTTTAAAGAACACCATATTTCACATTTTAATAAATATGACTGTGAGTGGGGATTTTGTTACTAACTCAGATTTGTACCAGGGTTGGCAGGTTTTTGACATGTGACAGTTTTTGACAGTTTAAACCATGGTTTAAACCGTCACGTCAAAAACCTCACTCTCAAAAATTTCACAAATGTCAAAAACCTATATTCATATGTGAAATTTAATTAATGCATAAAATTTACATATTTTTTATAAAGGATAGTGTTTCAAAATATGTTCTAGAAAAAATTAATTTAAAATTTTGAAGAAACGCTTATATTTTGAATAGTAACCAATGTGCATAGAGGAGCAATGTGTAATATATGAGCAAATGAACTAGACTATTGAATTTTGAATTAAATTTCTACTTCCATCTTTTTCATTTTGATTATGTAGTGTGATGCATGTTTTAATTTTTAAAATTATATATTTAATTAGGATAATTAAAAAATTTTTATAATAATTTGTTTAAATATTTCATCAGTGACTGTAGTGAACATTCAGTGACTGTAATGTTCTTCTGTTTAGTTTGACTTTTGTGATTGGTTGTTAGTTTTTCAGAAAAATCAGTAATTCTGAATTTTAAATCTTCAATTTTTTTAAATTCATAGTTAACATAAGACAATACAAATTTAAGTGCTTTCTGTTAAATACACAGAGTAGTTAGTGTCGATTTACAGTATATTCAGCCTATTCATTTACTATGCTGAAAATTTAGTTTATCCAAATACTTGTGAATTTCATTTTGCTGAATACTATATAGTTTTGTTGAATATCTAAATATTCAGCTGTTGAATAATTACTTCTTGCTTTCAAGATATGCATTATTTGTATTCTTAATACAAGTGGAGAAAAAAAAATTAAGAGATAAAAATTGTTTTAAAATGATAAGTGTAATAATTATAAATAAATATAATAAACAATATGAATTATATTTATCATTATTCATAAATATAACTACTTTTAAATTCAAATTAACATACTGGATAATAAAGATATTCGGTATAACATTAAAAAAAATTTTTTATACACTTGTATCTTGTATCAAGTTTGTATTTATACAACATAACTTGTAAGTTCCTTATAAATATTAGTTATATGTTCCTTATATGTCAAAAATGCATAGTAATAAACTTTTAATTTTCTTAAGTATCAAAAAGAAAAAAAAAATTTTTTTAAATATAAATATTTAAACAATTTTTGTGCAAAATTTTTCTGCACATGCATTTGAATATAAATTTCTGAGATTTTAAATCTGTTATTTTACCTTAATTTTAATTAAAAAATATTTTAAAACCTGCTGATTACCTATAGTATAATTAAATTTCAATATAATGTATGGCAACTGTTGGTAGTTTTGAAGTTTATATACTTTCTTGGCAAACTTCAGTTTTTGACGGTTTAAACCAGTATTATACACTTGGCATGTCAAAAACCACTTTTTGACGTCAAAAACCCAACCCTGATTTGTACCAAAAGAATTAATTAACCAATGTGGTTGCGTTTCATGCGTCTTTCTCTACGTTTTTTAAAAATTTAATTTTAATAAAATCAATCCAATATTTAAAGCATATTATGCACATGAAAATTTTAAATCATACATTTGAGCCTTCCTTCATCGCTCACAACTCATGCTCATTCCATCGTAAATATACGTAGTGTTTTGATAATTATTGCTACGGATTTTTATTTGGGGTTTCTTAAATCCTGATGTCTTTCATTGCTCAGTCATTATTATTGATATCTCGTGATTTTTTTTAAAAAAAATACCGATACTATTACAGCACACGAAATGCAAATTTCAGGTAATCACTCTTTGATCCTGCACCGATATCCTCGTTAATCCATACGGTGTTTCAATCGTTCTTGTGACAATTATTGCTACATTAAAAAAAAATCTGGAAGTATTTTTTATTCAATTTTATAACATGCAAAACTCAAATTACCTATTTGATTAGTTACTTATAATGTGACGATTTCAATGTTTGTTACACTTTTCTGCAGTTATTGCTAGTACTACTGCTTTTTTCGGGTTTTTTAAATTTCCAGTTATTTCTCAGTTTTTATTATTTCTACATCTAAAATTTAAATTCTGCATTTAAACAGTCACTTTCTGACAAGCTAAACTTACACAGATAGTATCATAAATCCATGTAAAATTTAGATTGTATTTTCAACAGTTTTTGATATTGAATTTTAAATATTTGAGACAATATGGGAAATTTGAATCGAGTATTAGAGTTTTTACTTTTTAACGCAATAATTCTATCGACTTTCATGATAATTACTGTTTTTGATTTATAACATAGTTTTTAAAATCTGATATTCTCAATTCATTATTTATTACACATCCGAATCTCGAAACGAAACATGCAATTGAGCAACCCCTTTTAGAAAAGTCTGCCTCTTGTGATTTCGTTGTCCATCTTTTTCTCAGCAGTTACTGCTAAAGATTGCTAGATTTTTAATTTGATGATTCTCATAGTATGTTTTCCCCCTACAAAATGTGAAAATATTGACTATAATATTAAACAAAAAATTACATATTAAATTAAAAAATTATATACAGTTTTATTTGATCCAAATAGGTTTTTTCTTTTTTTTGTTCAAACACAATGCTTCTGTTACTTTAAATTATTAACATCTACACTTGTTTTTATTCTTGCAGAAAGGTAGCGCTAGACTGCCATGCAATCGAAAAAAAACAACACAAGTGCTTCTCGATAGATTCTGAGAAAAATAGCTTGAGAACTTTCTTCTCTCTATTGCTAACGCTCTGACTGCTAAAATAGAATTTCAGAAAATTAGAATTTTTTGTCGCTTACGCTGATTTTTCATTTGCATAGCAGTAGAGAGGTTTGGCACAGAAAGACCATAAAAATTCTGCCAAAGGCATTAATACAATATTACTCAATAAAGTCAAAAGAAGATCTAGGGGAATGTAATTTTCTATCTTAAAAACGATATTGTTTTATATAAAGAATGTTTTAATAAGCTAATTTAAACAAGGGCAATAAAAAAAGAGCTAATCTATTAAACAAATGAAAAACCAATTTAAAATATTTACAATGCTTTTTAAGAACATTTACAAAGCTAAGATTTCTTTATCTGATGAAATTCAAATAGGCTACTTTCTAAAGGTCACTTCTCTGGATAACGTTACTTTAATTTCAAAGAAAGAAAAGTATCAACATCATTCAATGTATTATTAAATTACTTGAAATACATTTTTCTAAAAATAAAAAATTTAAAAAAAAAAAACTTCAACAAAAATATTAACTTTAAATTTTTCAAACTTAAATCATTTTCAAAATTAGACCTAACAAAAATTTTTAATATATACTCAGAGTGTTCTTATTTAATAAGTTTTTTGATTCAATATTACAAACATAATTTTAATATAACTGCATAAAAAAAATATAATAATTATATGATTATTAAGTTACATTGTATTATGTACAAAAACACTCTTCTTAGAACTAAACACAAAAACTTCAAACTATCTAATCTTTATTTTTAGGTGCTAAACATTATATTTATGTCATAAAAAATTGCTAAATATTCCATATAAATATGAAATTCAAAAGAAAAGAAAGGAAGTATGGTGAAAAAGAGATGCTCACATCAAATAGAGAATAAATAATAAAACAATGCTAAATAAAGACATGTTAAGCATCATTTTAATTATATCAAATGAAATAAGAATAATTTACAAATTAAATTTTTAAAGAAATTAGTATGAAAACATATGCCTATGTGTGATACTTAAATCCAACAAATATAAATCAGGTCGTGTGACTTTTAAAAATATTGATGTACAAGTTTTAAATTACACAAATTCGGATAGCGGGCGATATTTTAAATCACTCTGAAGCAGATCACAAAGAGAGATTTTTAAATCATGTTAATACAAATCGCAATATTATTTTTTAAATTGCATGAATATAGATCACACTGTGTGATTTTTTAGTCAAGTGAATACAAATCGCAATGTGTGATTTCCGAAAATGCACAAATAGGGATCGGACAAAGAGATTTTTAAATCGCACTAAAATGGATTATGATGTGTAATTTCTTAAATTGCACGAAATCTGCTCTAGAATAGTAATTTTTTAATTTCTCAAATACCTATCACATTGTGGGATTTCTTAAATTTCGATGTGTGATTATTTTGAACAGCACAAATACAGATTGTATGTTGTAATTTTAAAATCCCACAGACACGGATTGAGAAATTTTAATTTTCTAATAGTTGCAATATAGTCAGCATTGTGCACAGGCTGCCAACTTCTCTGACAAGCTCGAACCCATTGATCTAAAACTGAGTAAAGTTCAAACCACCACTGGGTATCAAACACAAGTTCTTCTTTATAACATTTCAGTATCTGAGCAACTGCAGCTTATATATATATTTAATAAGACAGGTAAATATTTATATTTCTTAAAAAAAAAAACATGTAACTACATTAAATAAACACATGTTTAACTTTTTTGCAAGTATGGTATAACCACAATGGCACACAGGTCTAGTAGTTGTATTGGCATATATTTTGACATTGGAAATTTTAATTGTAACAGAACAAAATAGTTAACATGAATTCTGTGTGATTGTTGAAACAAATTAGCGTGATTGTTGAACGAAATTTTTCTAGGATTTTAAAGCAATATTTAAAGTGGTAGCAAAATTTATATTTTTCTCGAGGATCTTAAAATTTTTAATTTAATTTGAAATGATTTTGGACACCCTTACACATTAAGAAATATAAACTAATCCATATGTATAACTAGAATGATAATCATATAATGTTATTATTAGACACTGGCAAAATGTTAAAATATTGGGGATATTTCCGAATCGTGATCTGTCGTGCCAGCTACAATCACCAAGGTGCCAAATAGATTTTGAACTTGCAACTTTTTTCCAAAAAAAAACATGTAAATGTTTGCCCGGGGGTGGCTACAAGTTATACCTTTCGAGTTGATCCCTTTCTGTAATGTTATTTTTTAGTTTCTAGCGGGCCACTGCCCAGAAGTTTCCAAGACTTGGCGATTATTTTGCCACAGATCACGAATCTTCCCAAAATATTTATGGCAACAATTGTAATTAAATTGCCATCACACAACCAATTGAGAAAAACATCCTCAGAATGATTATAAGTTGGCGGACAGGCGCTATTTTAGATTTTAAAAATTAATCAAAAGATTGAATCAAATTTTAACATATGGAACATTTTAATACAGTAAATATTTTTATTTTTCAAAAAATATCCTGCCACAAAATACTAATGTCATGATTTCTTCACTAAATTTTATGACTCAGTTTTACAAATTTCTCGAAATGGAAAAAATTAAAGAAAACTAATAAATGAAATCTTCTATAAAAATTTCTATCATACAGAAATATCCCCAAATAAACCACAAATTATTGAGAAGATTTCCGTTTCAGAATTCACATTTATTTTTTTCTGTTTTCGTTTCGAAATTTACGCACAAACTCTTAAAGAACGAGAGAAAAAACTATTCACGGAACGTTTTGTTCAGTATGCGATGTAAACGAACCAAAACGAGAAAAGATAAAATCTTCTGCAAACGGAAAGCATAGTATTAGTAAAAACACCTGCAATAAATCACACAAATTAAGCATGTGTTATAAAGAGAATAATTATGCGGCGATTTTGAATAAGAAGATACATCAAAAATCTTAACTAAAGTTCCAAAGGACTTCTAGTAGAAATAGCCCAATAGTTTAATGACAACGCAAAATATAATGATTGTTTAAAAAAACTCTTTTTACCTAAGTTAGAATGAAAAATCAAATTTTTTATGAAATTCTCATTTTAAGATTTGTAAACATTGCACTAACTTATAGAGAACGAGAATATTCTGATACAGGATTGGTTGAAACTAAGAGGTATGACATCATTCCAACTTTAACTGACCAATGAGGAGGTCAACAATTTTAGTTTCGTTCAGAATTTAACATGACTGAAATTCGAATCCAAGTAATTGTAACCTGAGAAGCCGTTCTTGCTTTATGCAGTTTACGTACCTCCGTCGACCATCCAGAGATAAGCACCATTCTCACTGACTGCAAATTATGCTCTCCTCACCACCGCTGAGGGAGAATGAGATCATTATTGGGGGGAAATATTTTCCATCGAAAATCCCACCAATCAAGTTATTAATTTTTCTATGCAGTGATGAGATGTGCATATACAACATTCAGTGAGAATTCGCGAACGTAACAATCTATAGAGGGCGTTGTTATTTGAGACGAATGACTGCTAGCAGAACAACACGATCATCAGTTGCACTGGATATTTCTTCAATGTGTCATGGTAACTTTCCTTCTTTATTGTGGCTTATTAAATTAAAAAAAGAAAAATTTTAATATTCTTTCTTATGCAAGTGAAAACAAAATGGAATCTTTTTTTTTTTTTTTTGAGAAGGAACATCCAAAACAAATCGGAAAATATTTGTAAAAAATCTTAATTAGTTAAAACCTCGTGCCAGAGAAATCGTTCTACTAAATTTAATGATCTAATATGAAAGATCTATTAAAACTCTACATTCCATACGGCTCTGAATAATATTACTTTAAACATTAAAATGTACAAAAAGTAATCAGAAAAGCATAATGTTGTACCATTTAATTTTACAAAAAAAGTTTTTTCACAACAATTTTTGTCAAAAAATTCGATAAAAAAAAAAATCATTATTTATAAACTAAAAGACGTAAAATAAAGAATGCTTACGATAAAAAAAACGATTCTAAAGCTTCCTCATATTGAAATAAAAACTTTCATATTTATTGTTTTTATAGTCTTAAAGTTCTTTATCAGACGTATAAAGCCAATCGGTAGAGAACTATTGGCAATCGAAATGGGCTGCAGGTGGCGTAGAGCAGAACTCTTTTCCTATGGCAACACTTCACATGCTTTCCCCATTAGCGTGTAGAAAGTCATAGAGGAAGGAAGTACGTTAGTTTCTCTCTTGATTTTCATATAGATTAAAATCTTTTAAGTTGGAAAACTATATGGAACTGAAAACTACATTAAACATAGTTCTAAAGAAAGGTATCACGGAAATTTTTAAAAATATTTTTATTAAGTAAAAAGGAAAAATATTAAGAAAAGGGAAAATATCGTAGTACATTCCTATATAACTGAAAAGAGGAGGAGAGGGAAGGGAAGGGAGAAGGGCTAAAGGCATGAAACCGGTCTCTCCCCAGATGGCGTATTCGAGTGTTGCGTTCGCGAATCATCAAATTAGAAAGAAAAAAAAATTTCACTAGTAAATTTTTAATTTTAAAAATCATAACACTAAGCAGGTAATGCTTCATAAGTCAGAANCAAGTTAAAAGATTTCAATCTATATGAAAATCAAGAGAGAAACTAACGTACTTCCTTCCTCTATGACTTTCCACACGCTAATGGGGAAAGCATGTGAAGTGTTGCCATAGGAAAAGAGTTCTGCTCTACGCCACCTGCAGCCCATTTCGATCGCCAATGCAGTGATGAGATGTGCACATACAACATTCAGTGAGAATTCGCGAACGTAACAATCTGTAGAGGGCGTTGTTATTTGAGACGAATGACTGCTAGCAGAACAACACGATCATCAGTTGCACTGGATATTTCTGCAATGTGTCATGGCAACTTCCCTTCTTTATTGTGGCTTATTAAATTAAAAAAAGAGAAATTTTAATATTCTTTCTTATGCAAGTGAAAACAAAATGGAATCTTTTTTTTTCTTAGAGAAGGAACATCCAAAACAAATCGGAAAATATTTGTAAAAAATCTTAATTAGTTAAAACCTCGTGCCAGAGAAATCGTTCTACTAAATTTAATGATCTAATATGAAAGGTCTATTAAAACTTTACATTCCATACGGCTCTGAATCATATTACTTTTTAACATTAAAATGTACAAAAAGTAATCAGAAAAGCATAATGTTGTACCATTTAATTTCACAAAAAAAGTTTTTTCACAACAATTTTTGTCAAAAAATTCGATAAAAAAAAATCATTATTTATAAACTAAAAGATGTAAAATAAAGAAATAAAGAATGCTTACGATAAAAAAAACGATTCTAAAGCTTCCTCATATTGAAATAAAAAACTTTCATATTTATTGTTTTTAGTCTTAAAGTTCTTTATGAGACGTATAAAGCCATTCGGTAGAGAACTATCATCAAATTAGAAAAAAAAAATTATTCACTAGTAAATTTTCAATTTTAAAAATCATAACACTTACCTGCTTCGTAAGTCAGAAAATTTCCAAATGAAATGCTCCATTCGTTTGAAAATTTCATTCTCAAATAATATATACATAGATTATCTCTTCATTACTTTTAGATGACATACCTCAAAACAAAATTTTATAATTGTAAGATCTCGATATGAACTTTAATATGTAACTTTAAAACAAAATGGTTAAATTGAATAGTTGAAATTATTCATTCAAAATTAAAAAATACTTACCAAGAAAACAATTAAAATTTAATAATAATCACCACAAATGATACTATTTTAAGTAATTTGAATGATTCTTTAAAAGTTGTTTTCCAAATTATATACGAACAGAAATATCTATTATTATATAAAGAAGAAGAATATTCCATAACTATTGCAGTTCTGCACGCTCTAAAATCACATTTATTCATTGGAATGAAGTAAGCAATGTTGACTTCACTTAATTTTTAATTAACTGAAGACAAAAAAATGCCTTTTACCGTAATACACACATCTTTAACAGTATGCTATCCCGAAATCGGAAGTTATCGGTTGCAAGTTTGTTAATAATAGAAAGGTAAAAATTCATGGGAATATGTTCTTCAAATGTTGAGAGAGTTCTGTTTCAGAAAGATTTACCAATATTCTGGGTCGTTTTTTCAAGTTCTTTTGTCTTTTCCTTGGGGAGATTTCACTTTTTATTTGCTGCCTAAAATGGCGTCCTACTCTGCCAATGATTCTGATAGAACTAAATGAAAACTTAATAAATAAAAGCCTGAAAATATCCTCCCAGCTATAGGGCGTTTTCAAGATTTACGATTGCAAATAGCCTTTAATCTGCACCTGATTTCAGCGAAGTTCGGTTATTGGAGCATTATCATTGGATTCGATTAGCATATGCGATCACACGCCAATGCCATTCGGGTAATGAAAAGCTGACTAGTGAAAAAAAATTTCTGCGAAAAACTCATTAATAAGACTCTCTAATTTTCTTGATTTGATTTGATTTGATTTGCTCATTTACGTCGCACTAGAGCTGCACAATAGGCAATTGGCGACGGTCTGGGAAACATCCCAGAGGATGATCCGTAGACATGCCATCACAATTTTGATCCTCAGCAGAGGGGATGGCTCCCCCGCTTCGGTAGCCCGACGACCTGCACGCGAAGTCAAGCACTTTACGGTAGAACAGTTTAACTTGGACCAATACCGCACACCCTCGATCACTGCGCAGACTGATCCAAGTGGTCACCCACACGCACACTGACCGCAGCCAGTGATGCTTAACTTCGGTGATCTCGCTATTTTTCTTAATGGCAAACAAAAGTAGGTAAGCCGTTCGCAGTGAGGATGACCCTCAAAAGGATGGCTCTTTTTAGGATACTGTACTGCGGTAAGAAGTACGGATGGTGCTTTGTACACTAAGGAGAGCTGCAGGCTCTTTTCTGCACACATTTCCGAATTTCTCAATCCAATGTACTTTGTTACCATTTGGCTCAACGTGACAGCGCCGTGTTAGTAGTGATGACAGCACATGCAGCGATATAATAATAAGCATAAATGGTGAAAAAATAGTAAGCAAGTGGTTTGGGAGTAAATAAAAACTTACAGATATTATTAGAATACAAATCGTTATTAAACACTTATTACCTTGTAAACTTTTTACTATTTTCGAAATTTCAATTGAAATGATAATTTGAAAAATAAACTTCGTGTCTATACTCTAACTAAACACTAACACTAACGAATGCATTGTGCACTGTTTGAAACAAGAGCAAATAGTAATAAGCGAGTCCAAGGGCGCCGGCAGCGGGGTGCAAGGGGGTGTACTTGCACCCTCCCGGCTTTATTTATAAACAATTATAGAGTATAAAAAAAAATTTATTAAAAATATTTTTATTCGAAAAAAATAATTAAGTAATTATTAATACGAAACAATTAAAAAAATGTTTAATCAAGCAAGATTTGTAATCGTCTTGTTAGCTGTCCAAATCTGCTTTTGTTCAATGAATTCTGAGTTATCTTTGATTCTTTTCTTATGCACACTGAGCATAACTACTTAATCTCTCGTGAGGCATTGTAGACCGATTCCATATTTTGGTGTGTCGCATTGTACTAAAAGTGCGCTCAATAGTGCAAGTAGTAGCTGAGGCCAAGAGTTAGGCCAATTTTGATTGCCTCCGCTACAGCTAGATAAAACGGTGTGACCTCAATAACTAAATCGATGTATTCGAGGGATTCCTAAGAATTTTCACTATTCCTCCACATTTCGTACCACATAAATTCGTACTTTTTTAAAAATATCTTGTTAACAATGAAGAAGTGTATCTTGAAAAAAATTAACAGATGAAAGTACATGTAATAACAAAACAAAATGTAATAACAGAATATTTTTAAAAAAAATTTGGGGAGGAAGGTAGTTTGTTAGAGGGTTGCACCCCCTTTTATATTATTCTGCCGGCGCCCTTGAGCGAGTCAAAAGAAGCGGAATCAGAACTACCAAAAAAAGCTAGTTCTGTCTATATAGTCGCGATCACAACGCTCGAGTGCGCCACCTGGGGAGGAGACAAGTTCTACGTCATGACCCGCCTTCCCTCTCTTCCTCTTCTCAGTTGTAGTTCATTTACGTCACACTAGAGCTGCACAATGGGCTATTGGCGACGGTCTGGGAAGCGTCCCTTCGGATGATCCGAGGAGATGAAATCACAATTTTGATCCTCTGCAGAAGTTGTTGTTGTTCATTTACGTCGCACTAGAGCTGCACAATGGGCTATTGGCGACAGTCTGGGAAACATCCCTGAGGATGATCCGAAGACATGCCGTCGCAATTTTGATCCTCTGCAGAGGGGATGGCACCCTCGCTTCGGTAGCCCGACGACCGATCCTCTACAGAAGGGATGGCACCTCCGCTTTTGTAGCTCGACGACCTGCAAGCGAAGTCGAACACTTTACGGTAGCACAGTTCACCGAGGACCAATACCGCACACCCTCGGTCCCTACGCAGACTGATCCAAGTGGTCACCCACCCGCACACTGACCACAGCCAGTGATTCTTGACTTCGGTGATCTTCTGGGAGCCGTGCCTTAACGACCAGTCCACTCCGGGACCCTCCTCTTCTCAATTGTATAGGAATGTATTATGATGTTTTTCCCTTTCTTAATATTTTTCGCAATTAATTGTCAAAAAGTTTTTTAAAGTTTCCACGTCGTTTTTTTTTTTTTTTTTTTGTTNTTTTTTTTTTTTTTTTTTTTTTTTTTTTTTTTTTTTTTTTTTTTTTTTTTTTTGAGCTATGCTCAATGTAGTTTTCAGCTCCATACAGTTTCCTATCGTAAAATTTTTTGATCTGTTTGAAAATCAAGACAGAAACTAACGTACTTCCTTCGCCTATGACTCTTCACACGCTAATGCTGAAGGCCTGTGAAGTGTTGTCACATGTAGAGAATTGTGTTCTACGCCACCTTCAGCCCATTTTGATTGCCAATAGCTACCATATCTTTTTTAAAACTATATATCCATAAATAACTAAAACAAATTTTCACTTCAAACCCTCCAGAATTACTCATTATCATTAATGTATCATGAAATGTAGCAGATTTGAGCTCAGAAATTATTGGCGATCAAAATGGGCTGCAGGTGGCGTAGAGCAGAACTCTTTTCCTATGGCAACACTTCACATGCTTTCCCCATTAGCGTGTGGAAAGTCATAGAGAAAGGAAGTACGTTAGTTTCTCTCTTGATTTTCAAATAGATTAAAATCCTTTAACTTGAAAAACTATATGGAACTGAAAACTACATTAAACATAGTTCTAAAGAAAAGTATCACGGAAATTTTAGAAAATATTTTTATTAAGTAAATAGGAAAAATATTAAGAAAAGGGAAACCGGTGTCCCCCAGAAGGCGTATTCGAGTGTTGCGATCGCGAATATTAATTATTTCTTTCAGTGAAAACAAAATGATCAGTTTTAAAAATATCACTTCTTGCAATAAGCTGTAATAAGCAGCTGTAAACTGTCTAATTCGAAGTCAGTAGCTCAAGGTTTGTTTTTGTTTACATTTGTTATGAAAATACCACTTATAGAGACACCCCTGTTTTTTTTCCTTTTTTTTTTTAAACAAAAAGAAAGTGGTACACATGTATTTCATTATTAGAATTGATTTTTCAGAGTTCTTGTCTACCATAATATAGTAGTAATATAAGTATTAAACTTTCATCTGAAGTCAAGGCTCAAAGTATTTTTTTTAACCAACCGCTGTGTAACAGAAAGAAACATCTACTTTTTTTTCCAATTTTTTATAGACCACTTTTTGTGGTTGTGCATAAACGGCTAAAACTCAGATACTTTGTCTTGTAGTTGAACACAACTATTCACTTATGACTTTGTTGATTTTAATTTGCACTTATCACGAGAGCAACTTAACTTCAGATACAGATCATTCTCTCTAAGGAAAACTTTGAAAAATATACTTTNAGAGACACCCCTGTTTTTTTTTTCCTTTTTTTTTAAACAAAAAGAAAGTGGTACACATGTATTTCATTATTAGAATTGATTTTTCAGAGTTCTTGTCTATTATAATATAGTAGTAATATAAGTATTAAACTTTCACCTGAAGTCAAGGCTCAAAGTATTTTTTTAAACCAACCGCTGTGTAACAGAAAGAAATATCTACTTTTCTTTCCAATTTTTTTTAAATTTTATATAGACCACTTTTTGTGGTTGTGCATAAACGGCTGAAACTCAGATACTTTGTTTTGTAGTTGAACACAACTATTCACTTATGAGTTTGCTTCGTATAGACAAGACTTTAAAAGCATCACTGCTTTATATACAAATAACTACTTAATTTTTAATTGCTATAAAATATATATTATAAAGAATCTAAGTCTCTTAAAATATTTATTGACTGCAATATGAAGAAGAAAAGTATTTTAAAATTTTTTTTTCTTCTGAGAATCGTGAATAAACTAATTTCGTGTCAGAATACAAATTGATTGAGATTAAGTTTAAAAGAAAAAAAACTGAGAAATAAAAAGAGTTAAATTTATGTTCTAACTTTATATAACCAATCATCGTATAAAACTTTAAAATATTAAAGTTTAACGAGGAACAAAAAATATTTTTGCAGAACATTAAAATGTATATTCACGAATATTAAGATATAAACTCACGAAATAATCAAATACTCTCTTTGGAGACATATCAAGAGCAAAAGCAACATGTATTTTATTACTCTTTTTTAAATATTTTATATTAAAGACATTTGAGTTGAGAAAAAAGAAAAAAAACATCACTTTTCCCAATAATATTTAAAATTAATGAATAAATTAATAAATGAATTTGCACAAAGGAAAAGAAAAAGCAGATTTTAAATAAGAATCTCTTAATAATCTTATTTTATTTTTTAATAAACTTTTTATTTTGATATACCCCTTTACTCTTCATATAATTACTTACGTTTATTTTTTAAAAATTACTGTAAATACATTCCTTGAAGTTAGCTTGTAATTTCGTATGATTTATACTGATAAAGTAGCCATCACTTTTCAAATAACCAAAACTTTTATTTAAAAGGTGAGAAATGTGAGTGATAGTTCATTCATCTAACCTAGCAAGAATGACAGAGGGAGGGCTAAAGCTGTAATTAACCCCAGGAGGTAAAATGAGGGATGGAATCTTGGGGCAGTTAAAGGCTAACAGTGATTTACTAGTAATTTGAAGAGGGGGGAGCTGACCATTCATTTCATATCTTGAAGGCAATAGATTCCTTCCAAGAATCAAACACACTGTCAATGTCACACTAAAGTGATATTTCCATTCATGTAGTTCTAATAATAATAAAAAACGACTTTCTTAAAACTTGAAATACGGGTTTTCTGTCACCTGGTGGTTTCTTTCAAGAAGTAAAAATTTTTATCAGTTGTAAAAGTAGTTCTAAATCGAAGTTTCGAAGCGTGTTTAAAATTTCTTTTCCTTTGGAAATTTATTTACACAATGGCTACCACAAACGTGGACTATCGCGATTTCTCGCTTGTTTTTAAAGCGTTCCATCTAAAAGAAAATGCTTTAAATGGACTGATTTGCCGTTGCGGGCTTGAAAAAATGGACACTTTTTTATCTAGAGATGCTGATTTTCGGGAATTGCATGATCTTACGAGAGATTCTTTTCAAATAGAAACTATAATGGTACCAACATGTGATGAAGATATTTTATCAATTGAAAAGTTGAAAAAGATTTTTCGCGATATGTCACCTTACAAGAGATTGGTTTGGTGTGGTCGCCTTCTAACTGAATTCCACGAAGAAAACCAATGCAGTCGGTATTTATCGTTTGGTCTGAAGTTTTATTTAAAAGCCATTGAAATCTACGAAAAGGCTCACCATCTTTATAATATCCTTCCTGCTGATATGAAAATTAAAGAACTTTTAAGGCTTTCATCTACATTTCGTGTTCACCAGAGTGTATTTCTCGAACTTTTGAGATTGTTTAGCACAGATGTATATTATTTTAGAGCGTTTCCGATTATCGATGATGTTTTATTGTTAGAAGATATATTCAGAGCAGCAAACGAACGTAAAATAGATATATTGGTATTATGGAAAAAATTAAACGGCGGATACTACTACAATTTATTTACTTGTTTTGTTCATAAAAACGTTGAAGCTTTTATTCCATTAATCAAATTTGGAAAGGCAGAGTGCATATCAATAGAGAGTGGTAAATGTTTGCTGTCATTATTGAGCGGGTAAGTATTATTATTTTTCTATTTATTTATTCTCTGTTTGCTAAACTATTATTCTTCATCTCAAATTGTTGAGAGTATAGAATTGCGAAATTTTCTATAGATAATTTTTAGCAACATTTACTTTTTCTTTATATCAACTACAAATTGCCCCAAAATGTAGAAAACTGCTTAATTTACAGTTGTCCACGTAATCACCGAATATCGGCTTAATTGTTTTAGATTTTCCGCAAAATGTCTTGATTCACCAGATATACTTGTTTTTCCTTTATTAGAGTATTTAAAATATTGTAATTAAAATAAGGAAAACAATGAAACGTATTTTTTTTCTAAAACTTGTTTTACAAGTTATCAGCATAATTTCTACTAATTATCACTATTCAAGTGAAATAAATTTTATTATTAATTGTACTGGAATTAAATAATCTTCCGGTTTGACTGACTTTAAATATATACTTGCTTACAGGGTGTGGAGAAAAAAAAACGGACAAATAATTTTAAAGAGAACTTTATTTAAAAATAAATAATCACAAATAATAATAATAGTAAATTTACTAATAAATGCATTTAATTGACAAAAAATAACAATATTTAAGTTTGATTAACAAAGCGGCAGTCTTAAATAGAGGCGCAGATGTTTATTGAAAGCAGTGGGTCGCAATTCCCCATAAAGGTGTTTCGTGGGATTCTAGGAAAAAAAGGTACCGGAAAAAAAGGTACCTGGAAAAAAAGGTCCCGGAAAAAAAGGTACGGAGAGAAAGTTCCCCGGAAAAAAAGGTACCTGTGTAGGGAAAACAAAGAAAATTCTGTAGGAGAAAATATTTGAAATGAGAAGTTTGGATTGAAGCGCTTTTTGCTGTTCCGTGCATGTTTTTTTTTTTAAGAAATTAAATACACCCAGCTCATAAGAAAAGAAATACCGCGACTCTAATTAAAATGGACCAATGCTTTCACCTCCAATCACGAATAAACATCCAACACATAAATCTTCCCAACTTCCCCGATTGGCTACTTTAAGCCTCACATTAGCAACTTCCTCACAAAATATAATTTAAAATAATGAATAACACATTTTTCACTTAAAAAAATTACAAAAAAAAAGCAAAACATTATTGAAAAATTTAAATAGTATCTTCCCGCTTTAAAAAATAATCAAAGAAGAATAAATAAATGAAATAAAATTTAAAAAAAAATAGCATAATACAACCATTTTTTCCGTCTACCGTTTCGTGGTGCCCTTGTGTTCTGTGGGAAGTTTGCAGGGGTTAGGAGATTTTTTTTTAGACTAGAAATAATTTTTGAAGCCTGTAATAGGTTTGCAGTCAACCAATAATTAATTTATTTTGTTAATTTGGTTATTAATATGAAATCATTTAAATAAATAATTCCGCAATGAAAAAAAAAGAAGAAAAAAAAAGAAATGGCAAATTTCAAAATGTATCATTATATTTTATTCCAATAACAATAAACTGAATAAATTACTAAAAAGATTTGTGTCAGCGCACAGTGGAATTTTTTTTGAGACTAGAAATAATTTTTGAAGCCTGTTATAGGTTTGCAGTCAACCAATAATTAATTTATTTTGTTAATTTGGTTATTAATATGAAATCATTTAGATAAATAATTCCGCAATGAAAAAAAAAAGAAATGGCACATTTCAAAATGTATCAGTATATTTTATTCCAATAATAATAAACTGAATAAATTACTAAAAAGATTTGTATCAGCGGACAGTGGGACAAAATCAGAAAAGTGCGGCCAAAATTAGAAAATTAACTTCAATGTTCTAAAAATTGTTCACCGATAGGTTTTTTGGGACGCTGATTTCAAATATGAAGTCAAAATTTCAAAAAAACAAAATGGCGGATGATTATTGAAAAAATTGCAAATAAATGAATAAAAATTATTTACTAGTAGTTTTTGAGATCTTTGATAACAAATTTGGGGTTAATAATTTTAATAAATAAAGTAATGGATGTAAAAACACAAATATTTATCAAAACAAATTTAAACTAAATAAATTGAATCAAAATATTTAAGATTGTTAATTACAAATTCGATTATCGAATTTGAAAAAAATAATGAATCTATTTTGCTAGATATAAAAAATTTTGAAAATGTAATAACAAAAATAATAATCTCAAGTTTATTTTTAGAATTTTTTCATTAATTTTATCATTATTTTAAAAATGACACGAACTATAAAAATTGATATATCAGCCAAATTCGCAAATATCCGCAGCTAATTTTTTTTTAGTTCTTGAGTATATATACCAAACAAATGTACAATTGTTTTTTTTTTTTTACCTCGGCAGCGTAAGGCTTTTTTTATAGAGAACCCTAAAGTTACAATTTCATTGTACAGGGCAGAATAGGGAAATGGCTCTGGTTTTAATAGTATTTATATAAAATAATGAATTCATATATATCTTAGAAATACATTTATGTATAAATCATGCATAGTTTTAATATTTTTATTTACTATAAGGATTTATCATATTAATAAGAATTTAACTGAAAAATTTAATTCTTTTTATTTCGACTTTGTTTCCGTTTAATTGCTATTTCCATTNAAAAAAAAAAAAAAAAAAAAAAAAAAAAAAAAAAAAAAAAAAAAAAAAAAAAAAAAATACACCGTCATATTCCATGGACATTTTACTACAAAAAGCCATATAGAGATTTTTTTTCTCTTATATCTTCATTTTTTTAATGTTTGACCGCGAAAAAGGATTTTTGTTCCACGGTGCAGCGGTGTATTTGTATCAAAATGTATCATTTGACTCAGCGGTGTCTTATAGATCTCGCCAAAAAGTTTCTCCCCTACCTGAATGACTGGTGGAGTAGGTGGAGGTTCTCTATTGAAAAAGGACACCTGCTCACAAAGATCATTACTCGCCAAATCTTTATGACGCCAAAGACGATAAAGGGTCTCAAATTGAAAACCGATTTACCTTGGTTTTGAGCGACATAGTTGATTAATTCTTCCTTTAGTGGGAGACGGAATTTTTCGGAGGCTCACGTGATTTTTAGGGAGAAAAGCTTTCTTATTCACCTCTTATTCTCTTATGAAAAGGGATAAATCAGAAAAAAGTAAAGAAATGTAACTATACAAAAATTATTCAAAGATTTTAAAAATAATTTTATGAAAAATTAGTATCATCTGCAATTCAAGATGCTAGCTTTAAAATACTTTGTTCTTTCATTTCTCGTAAAATTATTCTCTCGACAACTCTATCTCTTTAGCAAAATAATGATCTCATCTTCACTCTATAAAATTGAGTTAAGACATTACGCGACGTTTCTGAGTATTTTTCTCATGGGTACCTTTCAAATGAAGAGGAGGGGTAATCCAATGATAACTTTTGTTTTCGACACTAGGGTGCGCTGCAAGCTGTATGCCACTTATACTTCCGGGTTACTGTTTCCGGTGTATTTTAAAGTCATTTGCTCCCAACGTGATCATTGTGTTAAGATTCTGGCAAACGTGGTATTTGAATACTTATTGCTAAAATTAATCTTGCTCTTCGAACAATTTGCTAACACTAACTTAAGATGGTACACAGCTTACAACACGAACAAACAGTAATAAACTTATGGAAAGATGCCCAATCAAGACTGCCAAAAAAGCGAATCTAGCAACCATGTCACCTTTTTTAACAATATATCTCTAAATAACTAAAACTAATTTTCACTTCAAACTCACCAGAATTACAAAATAACATTAATATCTTATGAAATACGGCAGATTTGAGCTCAGAAATCATCTAATTTCTTTCTTTTATTGAAAACAAAATTATCCGCTTGAAAATATCGCCTAGCGGAATAACATGCAGTAAGCAGCTGCAAACTTTCTAAGCTGAACTAGAGCAGACATACAGCTCGAGATTATTGTTTACATTTCTACTGAAAACACCATCCATTGCGTGTTTTCGTGCTTTTTTAATACTTAAATTTAACGGGCATACCTCATTCACCGGACATACCATTTAACGGGCATACCTCATTTACCTCATTCACCGGACAAGGTTAGGATTGTGCCTGACTGCTACAGTGCTGTTATTAGGTGGAAAATCGTTAAATTTGAAAAGTATTTATCTAGAAATTATACTATTGGACTGTTTGATGCGAAAATGTCGATTTTGAACAACTGTGCCTTATCATTATATTNAATATATCTCTGAATAACTAAAACAAATTTTCACTTCAAACTCACCAGAATTACATAATAACATTAATATCTTATGAAATACGGCAAATTTGAGCTCAGAAAATATCTAATTTATTTCTTTTATTGAAAACAAAATTATCCGTTTGAAAATATCGCCTCGCAGAATAACATGTAGTAAGCAGCTGCAAACTTTCTGCCCCCTACACAGGCCGGCCGGCTGCAGTGCAATAAAATTGCAATTAAAACCAACTGCAGTTGTAGTTGTATAATAGTAAAATAAATAAAACCTCGAGAAAGCCTTTTTTCTTTTTGAAATTTTCATTAATTTGAGAAAAAATTATTTTAAAATTCGTGAAGATTGCATCACTTGTGAAAAAGAGACTAAGGAGTCTTTTTTGAGCATATCAGGATAATTTTAAATTTTTTGTTGAATTTTTTATTTTGCTTTTGAAAAGAAAATTGAATATATAAGGGGATTTACAAGTTTAACATAAACGTTACTTATACCAATCCTCCAACTTTGCCAGGAAAAAGAAGCAAATAATAAAACCCTTCAACCCTTGGATGCTTACACACTATCTGAACGGCCCCCATCTCTTTTCATCGCGATTTAAAATTTTGACCACGTTCTGACATAAACAAAGTAACAGACACAGAACTAAAAAAAAAATTACTAGATAATAATGATAATAACGAGTTATAACTTTGAAAATGGAACCTAAAGCGGTAATTGTCACTAGTAATTGCTAAAACTTATAAAATAAGACGTAGCGTTAATATTTTTAATTTTTTTTTCTTAAAAAAAAGGCGAAAGAAATTTATCTTGTTTTTGTTCAGAAATTTTAAGATTAAAGTTGAATTGCGCAAGAAATATTTTACACAGCAGGCCGGGCAGGCGTTGAACTCGTGTTCGTGTGAACGGGAGCTCAAATCCAACAGACCGATGACTCCCCGTGTATTAAATGGTGGCTGGTGCCCGCTAAATTCTGTTGAAATCACAAAGTCATCCAAGTTAACAAAGCAAATCAATACATCTGGAGGTACTGATCCAGGAGTTCCCTAATCTTCTGGATTGGGTTCAAAATTACAGGGTTACGGAGTTGAACATTGGTAGACGTAAACTCAAATTTGGGTCGGCTGATCAACGGCGATTTTAAATTTAAATACTTTACAGCAAACCAGAATTAATAAATAACTACTATAAAGTATTTTGCTATTAAATACATTCTCCTCATTAATTATATCTATTATACTCATTAATAATATTTTTTATATTCATTAATTATGCTTATTAATAATATTCTTTGCACTTAAAAAGCTGGAAAATAATGATAAGCCACACTTTCAAATTGTGCTTGTCCGATTCACCATTGTTAAGGTGTGGAGAAAGTTGTATGTATATTTAAATTAATGACATAATTTCATATTGAATAAAAATAAGCAATAAGTGATAAAGTTATATTTAAAACATGCTTATTCAGATTAAGGTTAAATTAATATTAAATTAAGAATGAAACACCATGCAACGACAGCCAGCATGGAACACAGCGTACCATCTTCCAAAAACCTCCTCTCCTGTTGATAATGCTGGTGAGAAGATAAAAAACTGACGCTTTTACCTCATTCACCAGACAAGGTGAGGCTTGTGCCTAGCTGCTTAGGCTTGTGCCTGACTGCTACAGTGCTGTTATCAGGTGGAAATTCGTTAAATTTGAAAAGTATTTATCTAGAAATTATGCTAATGGACTGTTTGATGCGAAAATGTCGATTTTGAACAACTGTGCCTTATCATTATATTACACCTACACTTATATTTTAGTAATTTTAAATTATATTTTTTTCCTGTTACAGTTGGCCTGTGTCAATAACATTGAAATGGGACTATAGATACGACTCTACAACATTCCGCTCACTGCAAATTCTACGTTTGTTTCTTCATGCAAATTCCAAACACTCTGAACCAACTACAGGACCCTACGCACTGAAGTTATTGTGGAATAGTATAACAGAACCATTCCTGTGTCAGGAGGAGTTAAAAAAGAGTGTCATAGCAATCGAGTTCGAGCATGATCTAAATGTTGTAAATGCAGCATGGGATTGGTATGCAAACCATGTGCTGGAAAACGTCATCTCACCCAGAGGACCAAGATCTCTGGCCCATCTTTCAAGGTGTTCCGCTCGTCGGCAACTGGCGACATGCCTTCAACTTCCGTGTGGTGTTGACCAGCTTGATGTTCCGAAGATTCTGAAAGATTATATTCTCTTGGAACATTGAAAGCTTTCTACCAGTACAGAGCTGAAAAAGCTGTGTAATTTCGATAAATAGATTTCGCTATAATAAATAAATTGTAATTGTTAATTGCACATAGTTTCGACTCAACAAAGATAAACTTTCCCAATTTTTCTTCGGAAATTATTAAAACTCCACACTACTTTTTTGCTATACAAACAATGAAATTTTCCTATCGTAGAAGATATGTTAGTTATTACATTTTGTAGGAAATAAAATTTTATAAGGAGAAGATTTTATTTGCAAGTTTTATAATACAGAGTCTCGCTTCTGTTTAAATTGTAGATAGAAGCGTTTCTTTGCACACGAACGGAGTAGTATTGCACACTTTAATGCTTATTAAATATGACTCCATAAGTAAAATAATAGCGCCATATCAAACTTAAGAACCTGAAATTGCGATGGTTTGCAAAAAATGTGCAAAGAATTCGATGAATTATTATTAATAATAATATTCGATTTTTAGTTCGAGAATATTAACAGTAAAACCTTCAACAGGGAAAGGCAACCAAAGTTTCAACAAAAAATAAGTACGTTTCAAGCACTTAAAAAATAATTTTGAAAATTTTTTTCCAAAAAAAAAACATATATTTTTCCCTCTCCATGTTGAAAGTTTATTATATGAATGCATAAAATTATCAAAGTAGAAAAACACTTACAAAAATTTTGTATAATCATTTGAAAATAATAAGTTTCTGACAAAGAACTCAATTCATGATTATTCAATTATTAGCCACCATAAAACATTTTATATATTCAATACCGAGTTCATCATTATTTTTTAAATTAATAATGATTTTATTCAATTGCATAAAAAATTAATTTAATTTCAAAATTGAAATTAGTTAAAATTTAAATAAAAATTTATAAATATACACTCAACAAAAACATTTACAAGATTAGTATTAGTAATTTTGTTCAGTATTTCTTTAATAAAAAATTTGAAAAATTTATTCTATAATTCTGAAATAACAAAATTGAATAAGCATTGCAGCTAAAAAAATTTTTTTAATGAAGTAAAAATTATTAATGTATGGTCCCTATATTCATCATATTTAACAAATTTGAGATGTTCGAGCATTTTATTTCAATAACTTTTATGTCAAATGATAAAGAGGTAAATTACAATTGAATAAGATTTCTTACGGCATTTGATAAATGTTAAAATAGTGAAAAGTCTTTTGGTTTATACTTTTTTTAAAAAACCGTCCTCTGAAAATTATTGAGTCTTGTATCATAAAATAACTCAAGGGTATTGAAAATAATAACAAATCCAATGAGATGAAACTATATAGAAAAGCCTAAAGTATTTTATACTATTAATGAATAGTCATACAGGCACGAAATCGCGCGTTTTGAAAAGCTCAACTAATTCAAATGAATTTTAAAAAAATAAAAAAGAGAGAGCGAGAAAAAAAATATGAAGTGATAATTGGCCCACAGGAAAAATTAGTGAAAGATCTAGTCAAGTTGATCTATAAATAACTAGAGCAGTACGAGAACCTCATCAGCCTGTCAGTAAAGCCGTTTCACCAACTAAAGAATAAAAATACCTTCGATAATGGGGGAATATTGGCTTTTCCCCCCCAAAGGCGAAAGCTTACGCTTTGGAGCTTACATACAATGGATGGTGTCTTCTACACTAGGGAACGCTGCAAGCTCGGTACCGCCTAAATTTCCGGGTTACTGTTTCCGTTGTATTTTAAAGCCATTTGGCATCATTGTGTTTTGAGATTCTTGTAAACAATGTATTTGATTACTTATTACTTGTGTTTACAATGCTAACAATACTTGTGTTTACAATGCTTAAAGCGTTAACACTAACGTAAGATAGTGCACAGCTTGCAACAAGAACAAACAGTAATAAACTTATGGAAAGATGCCAAATCAAGACTGCCAAAAAAGCGAGTTATTCAAAATCTAGCAACCATGTCACCTTTTTTAACAATATATCTCTGAATAACTAAAACAAATTTTCACTTCAAACTCACCAGAATTACATAATAACATTAATATCTTATGAAATACGGCAAATTTGAGCTCAGAAAATATCTAATTTATTTATTTTATTGAAAACAAAATTATCCGTTTGAAAATATCGCCTCGCAGAATAACATGTAGTAAGCAGCTGCAAACTTTCTAACCGGAAATAGAGCAGGCATACAGCTCGAGATTGTTATTGTTTACAGTTCTACTGAAAACACCATCCATAGCTTACGTTTTGGAAACTTGATTCGAGATTTTTATTTCCTTATTCAAATCATTTTTAAAAAAATTCCAATTATACTTATAGTGATTAACGAACGTTTGATATTTTTATCTCATTCAAATCGAACTTCTTCATAATTTGGAGGGAAAATGCTATAAATGTCGTGATTGGAGCTGTTTAATACTATTATTTCAAACACTAACAGCTTACTAATAAGAAAATTAAAACCCCTTCTAATGCAAGCGTAAGAAAATCCGCTTACTCTCCGCTGAGCCATGGTGGCTCAAAGGATAAAGCGCTTCCCCTACGAAAATTTAAGGTATATTTAAGGTTGATTTGAGGTATTTTTGCGGTATCGAGGTTGTTTTGAGGTATATTTAAGGTTGTTAAGAAAACTGCAATAAAAATTATTCCTCGTAAAGGTTGTAATTAAGGTGCACGAGGTTGTTTTACAAACACTTCAGCTTGTTTTGAGGTTGTTTAAAATTCACTTCAAATCAACCAGACTGATAAGGTGATTTTTAAGGTATACGAGGTTGTTTTTCTTACATTTGTAACAAAAGAGGTATTTATGAGGTATAAAAAAATCAACCTTATTTCAACTAACGAGAATGAGGTAGTCGCCCCCACTTAATCGCATATCGTATAATCAAATAACCCGCTTATACGAATAAAATTTAATGGAACCAACTCAATTTATATGAAGCCAATGTTAAACTTCCCCGTATAAAAGAATCTTAGTTGTTTTTTGTCCCCTCCAAATTACATAAAATAGAGATACTGAAATGAAAAAAAGAAAAAAAAAATCATTTTTGAGAAATATTTCGCCAATTAAAATGGATTTTCCGTTTCATCAATTAAGATGCAATAGGTGATTACTTCAATAGGGATTGCCTGTTCATTGCTTGGTCTAAAGAGGTGTTAGGGATAAAGTTGAAAAATTAAAAATCTTGCTGCTTATTATACATTGAAGTAAACGAATGGGGTTTTACCCCTCTTTGAGTTACTTCACTCACATATCATTTAGAACGNAAAAAAAAAAAAAAAAAAAAAAAAATACAGATTGCTTTGTGGTCAAGACTTGTGGTCCCCTCCTGGTGCGCTATGAACTTTGAAAAAAAAAGTTTCAAAAATCTAACACACTAGTGTACAATGCGTATTTCTCTTAAGCAGAATAATCATTGCTCAATCCAGTGAATAATGGTTGCAAGTTGTGCGCGAAAAGGAATGTTTTGAATTAATCGAAGGGGGAGGGGGGACAACGAATCTTGGAAACAATAAGTTTCAAAAACTCCCAAGCTATTGTAAAATAGGGAATTAATTTGGAATCTCTCAAGTTTCGAGAATAAGAAAATAATAAATAAGCAAAAATAGAAATTCTGATTATATTAGAAAGGAATACGCAAGTCATGAATGCCTTAGTAGAAGCTGAAAGGGAATATCTAATTTTGATATGACGAATTGCCGACCGGCGTGTATAGGGGACAGGGAACTGTCCTTGCATCAGAAAGGTTCTGGGTTCGAATCCCGGGCTAGGCATGGATGCTTCTTTCTCTCTGTGTGTACTATGTCCTTTACCCTTTGTGTGTGTGAATGTGACCCGCCCTATAAACGGGTTTGTGGTTGAGTAAATGGTGTGGCAGAAGTCGAATTCTTGGCCATAGATGGCGCCACTGAAGAACAAGAGCAATCGCACCCCTTCTGCCTAAACAGGCATACGACAAAAAAAAAATATGACGAATTAAAACGGGTACAATTATAAACTTTTTCGGAAGGGATCAAATAATGTTTTAGTACATACATTTTACTTTTCGCTAACATTAATTTATTTTTATGTATCTTTAAATGACATTTGTATTTTATGATACTAACGCAGACAGTTTCAATTATAATTGTTTATTGATCATGAAATTGATTTTATTTAATCAAAACGCTATACTATGCATTAAATACCATTAAAAAGTAAAATTTCGCAAAAATTCAGAATTTAAGAATAGTATATATTGCACTCCCCTTTTAATCGAATAACCCGCTTAATTGCATGGATTTGGCTTGAACAGATGGTATTCCTTTAAGCGGGGTTGACTGTAACACTGAAATCGAAGTTAAGTCCAAAAATCCCTCCATTGCACTGCCCAAAAACATCTAAATGAAATTAAAACTTGGTATCTGGACTAGTAATTTAAAGTTAACGGACAAAATTCGAAACTGCTAACTATTCAGCATAAAAGAAAAACTATCCTCCCAAAAAATCAATTTGTTCTCTTCAACAAAAGTACCTCCATTGTAAAAAACGCAAAATATATAGGTCTGGTTATAAATCGAGCGTTCAATTGGAAGGATAATGTCAACANAAAAAAAAAAAAAAAAAAAAAAAAAAAAAAAAAAAAAAAAAAAAAAAAAAAAAAAAAAAAAAAAAAAAAAAAAAAAAAAAAAACAGATTGCTTTGTGGTCAAGACTTGTGGTCCCCTCCTGGTGCGCTATGAATTTTGAAAAAAAAAAAGTTTCAAAAATCTAACACACTAGTGTACAATGCGTATTTCTCTTAAGCACAATCAATCAATGAATGATTTGAATTAATCGAAGGGGCGGGGGGAGGAACAACGAATATTGGAAACAATAAGTTTCAAAAACTCCCATGCTATTGTAAAATAGGGAATTAATTTGGAATCTCTCAAGTTTCGAGAATAAGAAAACAATAAATAAGCAAAAATAAAAATTCTGATTATATTTGAAAGGAATACGCAAGTCATGAATGCCTTAGTAGAAGCTGAAAGGGAATATCTAATTTTGATATGATGAATTGCCGACCGGCGTGTGGAGGGGGCAGGGAGCTGTCCTTGCATCAGAAAGGTTCTGGGTTCG